CTTTTGAGAGCCAGGGCACAACAGATTCAAACCGGGACTTTCTGGCAAGCACATTTGATGGTTTTAGTTTTACGGCTATACGTCACAATGGAAGCGACAACGCAGGATACAACGTGCAGTTACCCATCCTGAGAATTCGTTAGAGAAGACGAATTTGTTACCATAATGTGTGACTTTCACACGACTGGCACTACAAAGAGAAGCAGAGTGGAACCGCCTACACTCGATATCACAAGATCATTGAAGTTCTACTTAACAAACGGGAGTGCATCCAAAGGGCAAATGTATTTAAGTACAATCCGCAGGTTGAAGTGTCGCAGGCGAATGGAAGCGTGAGAAGTATAAGTGACTGGGCAACGGCTGCCAATCTGGACGACAAACAGAGAGGGCTTTCGAGTGTATCATTGCAGCCTTCTTGTTGACATTTTATGAGGAAGCTGAAAAGGTGGACTTAGAGGATGGAGTCCCGGATATGGGGTTGAAGGCAAAAGTCCGACTTTCTCGTAAAAACCTTTTGATTTTGAAGGAAGTCGTGGCACCCAACTGATTCTTCTTCTACATGGCCTGGAGGAAGTGGGAAGACTACCGTAATTGACTTAGTCATGGCCTATGGCAAAGAATCTGCAGTTTGATTGATCATCCATTTAACGACCGAACCATTGTTGTCACTGCTATGTCGGGGGTTGCTGCTACAATACTACATGGGGAAACAACGCATTCAGCTGTGGGATTGAACAGAACTCGGGAAAGTGTGGCGAAGAACTTGGTAGTAGAATGGAGTGACGCACGGATGCTTATCATCGACGAAATTTCATTCGCGGGGGAACTTGACTTAGTGAAGATATTCCACTACACCAAGACCTTGATGCAAGACGAATACCAACCATTTGGGGACTTAACTTGGTGTTCGCGGGGGACTACTCTCAACTTGAACCAGTGGGACGCCCCCCAATTTACAATCTTCAGCACACCATTCCTGAATTTCATGACTCTCTGAATTCATTTATGAGTTAGATGGAATGCACCGCTTCAAAGACGTCCTGAATGGGGGCAACGCGTTTAAGATTCCGTGAAGGGCGACAACAGAAGAAGATATTGAGACCATCAATGACGCCTGCATGGTTGGCCCAACCCATGTTCCACCAGAGAACATTCAAGTTGCTACTTATCTGAATCGAGATCGAGATGCCATTAACTCAGCTATCTTCGAAGAATTTTGCGGGAAGAACAAACCTGCTGATGATTCCGTGCTGATGGATGCAGTACTCATTTTCATGGACGATCTTCAAATGGCCAATCAAGCAGGGACACTGGTTCCTGTTAAGAGCAATTCGGTTTTAAAGCACTTCTTTTCAACATGTGGAGAAACTCGTTAAAACCCGGTTCGGACTCACGAAAACGTGTTGATCCTGCTTTGAAGTTATATAAGGGGTGTCCTGTAATGTTTACAGAGAACACGAATGTTCCGAATGGAGAAGCCAATGGATCTCGGCTTTTTGTAGAAAGGTGAATGTGAGGCATGGTTGCCCCCATGGTTATTCAACTCGACAACGGCTGCAAGATTCGGGCTTTTTTCTCAGGTCAAGTCAAATCTATCCTTGTGGAACATGAAATGGAGACTATTATGCCACGTACTTTTTATGTAACGGAGCAAGACTACACTTTCAGTACCAGATGGTTTTATGACGGAGAAGTTGTACACACCAAGATGAAGGGTAAGCAGTTCCCGATTATCAGCAATTCTGCGACAACTGGACACAAATTACAGGGAATACTGCAGTGTGGTTATTGGTACATTCATGGCGATACTGTCAAAACTGGGCTTACGTGGTGTTATCAAGGGTGCGAACCATGAGTGGTTTGTTCTTATTGAAGAAGCTGGATTGGGATCCAAAGAACTTTGCCATGCCACAACGAATGAGAGACATGCTTGCAAGATTTAAGGATACTATTGGGCTTTCTGTCCTAGGAGAAGATCAATACGATGAAATGTTCCAGCGAGAAGACGGGTTCTTGTTATAAGTATGAACGGTAGGGATATAGGGTAAATTAATCTGTATAATAAAAACTTTTATTACTACAACTACCTTTCTGAGATTCGCATTGCACCTCGTACGTCATTCAATGTCAGTCATTGAAAAAAGATCAAGCGTCCAATCAAATCACAGGCGACCCCGAAAAATTAGGAGCCAACTTTTAAAATGTGAAGAACGCAAGGCGACTTTCATGTGCATGTACATGCGTTGACTGTATCCCGTCAATACAATACTATCTAGTCGAATACGTAGACTTCTACAGGGCCTTCTAAGTAATGCGCGCCGGGTATAATTCAAACCTCTGCCCCCATCGGTACCATTACCCCTAAAGCAAATCGTCTCCAGGAGACGAAATTCCTTGTTTGCTTCAGGACCAAAGGCCCAACGAGACCTGGTAGAACCGCTCCAAGAAACACATTTCTACATTGGGCCACCCCGGTTGACTCTAGCTAGCTAGCTAGCTTGTTACGATTTGGACAATAACTGCGGCAACTCATGGCATCCTTTGCACTTTACTCGGTTATTCCTACTATTCTTCATCACGAAATCTCGAGGCCAGCTTGCGTACGGAAATACTAATAGTATAGGCTCATTTTCCGACCTAGCCCAGCTTTCAATCACCACAAAGTTGACCAAGGAACTTTCGGAAATCCAAATGGCCAAAGTACCTCGCGTAGCGCACTCTGATGCTATTCGACACTAGAAGATCGGCATCGGATAGGGCCTGCTTCACGCCACGTTCTTCCTCTTTCACAGTCGTTTTGTTTCCCTCAATGCCCTCACTCTCTCCAATATCAGCCAACACCTGCCATCCCTCTTCAAGAGCAACGGCATTCAGGTCTTCGGGAACAGAAGCTTCCGTGGGGTTAATACGAATGAGGCGGGCACGGTCGCCGAGTTCTCGAGCAAACGATTCCACGGGAAGACGAGTCACGGTGGGAGTATTGAAGCCAGCTCCAATTTCGATCACAACCACTTTTGATCCAGCATCCAACTTGTGCTGCATCCACTTGAGAAGTGCGGTACCCTGAGCTTCATACTTATTGTGCAAAAACCAATTCCCGCCCCTGACGTTTCCAAACATGTCGCTTCCGCATCGTGGGCATTTTGGGACAAGCTCCTCCGGAATGAACCCGTCCTGGCCAATGTGAGGCAGGATGCGGTCAATGTAGGGACGAGATTCAAACACTGAATCCGGCTGGCAAGCATTCATGCATTGAAGGTAGGTCCATTCGCCTTGGGGAGTGTAGATGTTGTTGGAGTTGAAACCACTGCGTTCAAAGCAAGCGTCCACATTGGAAGTAAGCACAAAGTACTCCTTTTGGCCAACCAGATCCAGCAGTTGTTTGTATCCTTCGTTGGGTGTAAAGGCCCATCTCATATTGTCCATGTGCTTTGCATTCAGAGCCCATTTTGCAGCTTGTGGGACAGACTGATCTCCCATCAATCCCATGCATTCATAGCTGGTTTTGTAACCCCACTTGGGGAACCATGGGTAGGCTTTGGCAAAATCATCCGGGTTGGTGTAGACCATTTCTCCTTCTTTGACACTCATACCTGCCCCGGCACAAATTAGGACCGCATCAGCATTGTTGATCCACTGCTTGGCAAGGTCAATAGTTCTCTGCCGCATGGACGCTGTTTGTTCGGAGGAAGAGACCATGGATTCTTCTTCTACTGTTGTTGTAGGACTTTCAAAGCCATCGCTGTCCAAAAAGATTGCTGGCATGGTTTGCTGGTACAAGGCATGATCCTTGGAACTGAAGACGTTGAAAACCACATTGTCCAAGACACCTGGATGCCTCGCGAGCCAGCTTCGAACGGCGGAAAGAGCAATGCCAGCGGCGTCTTCTTGCGGAAAGCCGAAAATTCCAGTTGAAATACAAGGAAACGCAATGGATTTGACGCCTTCCGTCCTCGAGGCGGTCCTGAGTGCAAGTTGATAGGCTTGCCACAACTTTTCCTTGTCTGAATGTGTGGGATATGTTCCCTTTTGGACATGAGGACCAGTCACATGAATGACATGACTGCTGGGCATAAAGTAGGCCGAGGTGACAATGGGTACTGTCCCTGCAGACAGAGTTCTGCCACGCTTTTGCATGGCGGTTTGACATTCCATTCGAAGTCGAGGGCCAGCCTGACGGTGGATGCAGTTGTCAATGCACCTGTGTCCAGGTACAAAGCATCCGAGACCTTGGGCGTTGGCAGCGTTGACTATGGCCAAGGAATCTCCTTGCAATTGTGTAATGTCTCCTTTCCAGAGAGAAATGTTGGTTCCATGAGCAGTAGTAAACGCGGGCAAGTCTTCGATGCGGATTGTTGCACGGGCATCACTTTCGTGTTGCCAGACCTTATCAATCAACGTCAAGGTTTCGTCGCGCCAGTGGGTGTCCGACGCAATGAGCGCATTGCCCAAAAATTCACGATAACTATCCGCCGTCTCGCTTGATTGCTCGATGGATTCAGGATCGTATCCGCCATCGCGAAGGACAGACATGAGAGCGGCTTTGAGTTCTTCGGTTGACATGGTGAAGTAGTTGTTGCTGGATGCAATGATTTTTTCTGTTATTGTTTTGTTTTGTTTTGTTTTGTTTTGTTTGGTTTGTTTGTGATGAGAGCGAGAGAGATACCAAAAGAATTTGTACTTTGCCGATTGCTTGGACTTGTTGTCAGTGTGGGAGTTTGCTTGAGCTTTTTCTGTTGGAGGCTCTTGGATTTTGTGAGCAGATCGAGGATCTTTCCGAGAACAGATCGCAGGTCGGCGCCGATTGATGTTGAAACGTGCGCTGTTAACCAGCGGTTCGATCGAATTCTCAGAAACTGCAGTCATCCGGAAGTCCGTAGGACAATGACTGCAATGAGAACCCCCACTTTTGATCGCGGACTTTCAGATCCATGATGACTAACGGTTCTCCTTTGGGTTGTTGTTGTCTTTCTTTATCGATAAAAGAAGATATTGACGATGGTCCGGTTGTTGTTGTTGGCTTTGTGCCTCCTTGGAGCTGTGCAGCTTGCTCCATGCTCGGCCATGTACGAAGTTGATCGGGTGGCAGAGTACGATCGGTAGGTACCTTTTTCGGTCATTCGATAATATGCAATGCTCGATCTCACAATCGCTCTGTTTTTGGTCGTCGAGGGCAGACGATATCCACGCGAATGGCCACCCAAGGACTACATTCCCAACAACGAAGGATGGCGTAGCGTTCATGAGCATCGTTTCAAGCAGATTCGCGAAATGGACAACCACGGAGAAAAATACGAAGGTGAGAAAGTTGGTTTTCCAATTTTTTTTGGCGGCCAGCGCAGATTTGCTAAAATATTTGTTTTTTTTCTGCCTTTTTGTCCAGGATGGATGCAGGTATGTACAGTTCTGTAGACTTGTTCGGTTGGGCAGCACACACACAAAAAAAGCTGAAACTTATGCAACTTGTTCCGTTTACATTTTATTTTCCAGTCTGTCTTTGCCGCCTTTTTGGTGCAGAATTTTACCGAGTATGGATTTGGTTTGGTCCGAGCCCCCGAAGAGCTCACCCAGGCTCTTCAGGAAGGAATTCGGGGAGGATTGGAGCGCGGAGAAGCTCGCTTGGAGTATCAAGTGGATGTCATTGAAGGGCCGCGATGTCTCTTTATCGACCGCCCTGACTTGACCAAACGAGTAAGAAATTGCATTTGTTGTGTTTTTCAGCTTGTCCTCTTGATAATGTCTCATTTTTCTATTTTTGCCATAGGTTCTCACAGAGCTTCAAACCTACACTGAAGCATGGGCACAAATGGAGTTGACGCCCCACATTGCTTACGGATTCCGGCTCTACCAGAATAATAGTGTCTGTAAGTTTCGGACCAGAATATATTCCAACTTCATTGCGCTTCGAACAATTTGCAAATGCCTCACCCGAAAAATGATTCAATTCTCGTCTTTTCGCCTTCCAAGATAGTGAATATGCATGTTGGTAAGGAGAATCAACTGTACATTGAATCGTTTTTGCCACGACGCGAGACTCTTGCTTACCGCACAACAATTTGCCGCCTACACAACAACAGACAAGAAGCAGACCCACATTGTCTCTATGATTTTCCACATTGACAGCTCGGATGATGCAGAAGATTGGCCAATCTACATTGAGGATCTACTGGGTCGCACCCACGAGGTGGTTCTCAAGCCGGGGGATATTCTCTTTTATGAGTCCAGCAAGTGTTTGCACGGCCGCCCTAAAATGTTCAATGGATCCTGGTATTCTTCCATATTCATTCATTACTATCCTACCCATGGATGGCAGCAGACGGATCATCAGCAACGGGCCCATTACATTGTGCCTCCTGGTTGGAATGATAAAGTGGAAGAAAAGAAAGAAACTCCACTGAAAATGATTGGCACCAGCTTCAAAGAACCAACTTGTCCCAATGGGTGGTGTGCAACACAGGATACCGTCAAATGGAGTGGTCCGGGTGAAGAGGGAGTCTGGATTGATCCCATGATGGTGCGACATCCATTTGAGCCAAAACGATTCAGCGCAGGTGACGAGCTCTAGATTGAAGGCTTACACTTTATCTTGTTGGCAAGAAAGACAGATTATCTTGCCGAAGCAATTATAAGCAACTATCAACGAGGAAGATACACTAAGGCTCGAATATTGGTCAAGTTTGTGTGAAAATAGAAATCTTAACACAATAATTATCCAATTCCACATATTTGATGGTCATTTTGAACAGGCAGAGTTAAAGAATTGGAAAGTAAGGGACACATCTTTTACCACCACCGTTTGACACACAGTGTTCAAACAATCCTTAATTTGGCAATAGATAACATTTCTCATTTTACAATAGTGTTAATGTTTTACATATTTTATATCAATCCCAATAAACAGAAATTCAACACATCATAACTCCCAAACTGAACACAAGCTTAACGTCAACCATCACACTCGATGTCAAACCCCAATGTTGCCCCCTGCTCTATTGCACGACATCGCCACTTGCATGATTTCACTGCAGCCATGCATCCTCTTCCTTCTTATCATACTCTCGGGTTCCATGCCCACTCGATCATGCACATCATGCCCTCCCCCCGTCCCTCCACTCTGCGACTCTACTATACTATCCATTCCGCCTCGCACCTCCGACTCACTCCACTATAGAGCACACATAGTATATATTATGTATATAGTATTATATCTTATAGAGTCTCATGGTCGATTATATATAATTGACTCTTTGGTCATTGCAGTAGGATCTAGCGTGTCATTGCTGCCGAGTGCCAGAGTCATAGATTCATTTGAGCATGGAGTACACATCGTCCATTTTTCTCTCCAGGCCGCATTTCACTTTCTGGAATGATCCTTCCACAATCTTTATGCATATTCTTTTCGCACCGAATAGCATTTAAATGCACCACCAGCTAAATTGTTGCACTCGCCACAAGGAAGCCAACCAGATTGGTCTGCTTTGTATGGATTTTTTATAGATCCCACTGCAATACCGGCTCTTAGCCTTATTCGCGACTCGATCCTAGATAGGGTTTGAGTTCGACTCATGACTGAGTCTCTCGTGAATAGTCATTTGAGACAGGGTTCCAAATGACCGCCGCTAGTAGTCCTAGGGTTATGATGAAACATCGCTCTAGAATTTAGCAGCGTGGAGTATTCACGCTACTAGATCAGGCTAGACAAACACTTCCACGCGTACCGTTTTAGGATCGTGGAGAAGCGTAAGATTCTACCGCGAGGAAAACTCTCAGTCACACTTTATTGTCTCCCGCGGGAAGCCATTTCTACGATCCTTTGATGATGATCTCCCTCGTCGTTGATTAGTTTTTTCATAGCTTTCTAAACTCTCTCTAACTTTCATTCTCTCAAAACTCAAAACACTCGAAAGATTTTTACACTGCTCTTTAGCGTAGTGCATTTGTTAACAAACACAATATAGCTTTCAGCTACCTCCAACCTATTCCTTCACATGAAGATGGCTCAAGGAAAGGATGCGTTCCCGCAGCAACTTCGAGAAACGTTTGCGTGACAAACCCATTTTTCCTATCGTCGACAATGACGAAGAAGACGATGACATTGACGAAGAAAACGAGATTGACGTTACTCGTGCAACCACTTGTTGCCAAGCGCAAATCAAGAAAACTCTGACAATGGGAAAAGACAACTCCTCTATCCATTTCAATAACTTGGATGCAGAAATCTCTACCTGAGGATTAGGCCAGGATGATGATTCAATGGTACCATGTTCCGATTTCTCTTACCAAAGTGATGAAGATACCTCACTAACTAGTAAACAAGAATTTGTTTGCAACTGATGAACTCTACGCCAAATTAGATTGATTGCTTAGAAGCGGCTCAACTAGACTCTGATGATCTATTAAGCATCGTTAACCTCGTCCCTGGCCAACCACCTCGTAAAAGTCGCAACAGACAAGAGAACTCAAACCCATCGTTTATGTTAGATTTAACAAGCAAGAAAAAGGGAAACCAAAACTCGTTACACTCCATTGCTTGCTGGATACAGAAGCAACCGGAACCTTAAATGCTCAAACTCATACTAACAGTTTACTCATGAAGAATAATGGAGGCGTCCAAACACTACGAACTGCTTCTGTAAAGGAAATGAAACCCCGAACGAAGTGCAAGGGCACACTCATGATTCCTGAATTCCACGAAGTTAGAATTATCTAGTGGGACCTACACGTCACCAAGAGCTTGGGGGCGTATTACATGATAATAGGTCGAGTTATTCTCTCTGACTTAGGTTTCATGTTCGATTTCACTACCATTGCAGTGGAATGGGACGGCATATCTATTCCTATAAAAGATAGCGACACCAATAAAGAAGAAAACTTTTTAATTCCTGATCCTACCGCTGTCGATTGAACAGTTGCTAGATTCGTCTCAAGAAATTCTGATTAGCGGCAAATACGAACAGTGACCTTAGGGCAGGTTTTGCCCAAAAGTTCCAAGATCGGTTAAACACGGAAGAGAAGGGACAGCTTCACTCCTTACTGAAGAAGTACTCTGACTTATTCGATGGTAATTTGGGAAAGTGGCAGATGGACGACTTCGAAGTAGAACTTCTCCCTTGTGCTAAACCTTTCATGCAAGGGCTTATCCTATTCACCGGGTCCATACCAACAGTCTTAAGATGGAGGTTGAACGTCTCTGCGAGCAAGGAACGCCTTACCAAAGAAGGTGAATCGTTCGAAGTGGGCGGCACCAACTTTTCACATTCCAAGGAAAGACGGATCTGTTACGATTCATTCTGATTTTCGGGAACCGAACAAAAGGTTCAAGCGGAAGCCTTGTCATATCCCAAAAATACATGACTTGCTCTTGAATCTAGATGGTTTCAAGTACGCTACTATTCTAGACCTGAACATGGGGTACTATCACATCGAGCTGACACATCACACTCGATGCAACTCTGTACCATCGTGCTACCGTGGGAAAAGTACGAGTACCAGAGATTTCCAATGGGCCTATGCAATAATCCCTACATCTTCCAAAGAAAGATGAAAAAACGCATGAATGACTTAGAAAATGTCCGTGCATACATTGATGATTGAAAGCGTTACAGTACCTCCAACGACTCAGAGTAACCGTGAGTAGATTGAGTCATTTTTTATGAGTCAACACGATGGAACAGACAACGCTGGCAAGAACACGTTCTCAACGAAACCAAAAGGACACGGAAAATTGGAATATTCGACAGGAGTAAAACATACTGCCAACGAACCGATTCCCGCAAATACCACGTTGACTTCCGTATCAACTACACGATGTATTGATCCAACACGCTACAAACTAGCTTTACTGATCGCATCAATCAAGCTCACAACACAGATTATGACTTACTAAGAAGCGGACTTTGCATTTATTTTGCACTCGTCTTGAATAGGTGCAGTTGATCTCGTCGGGGTGTAAGCTACCTGCTACAAGATCCCTCTATTCAAGTATAGTATTTCCTCACGTTAGCAGATTATCTAGTCGCAGTTACGCACTGCCTGCCACACCTTCATCAAGATGGCCGATGAAGCAACCAAGCTCAACCATGTCCTATGCACCCTATGCGGCGAGGATGCTTCCGACCCCAGGTTACACTGCATCTCACATGAGCATCGCACTCTCTGAACAAGGAATCGACGCATGGATGGATCTCCTACTTCTCACCAAAGATGAAGATATGAATCTCCAAGCTTCAAACGACAACAACGGCAATGCAAGACCATTTACCTCTCACTAGGAATAAGCTACTGCTCGCGGCGTTACAGATGTATCACCATTGTTCGTCCAGGAGGAAGGCAACCATCCGCGTCGTAACACTGACGGCCGACGCATTCGACGCTTTCAGAGTTGGACTCTTCCAGCCCACCGGGCGAAATCGTCCCATGGCCACAAATGAGACGCAGCGATGCCACGATGATCGATGGGGAGCGTGCAATTGCACTTTGGGACAAGAAAAACAAGCCCGTCCGCTCAAAGTTCAAAGAGTTTCGCGACGAATCAGTCTTCATTAAATGGAGGAAGAATTTCTTCAACACGCTCAAGTCTCACGGTCTCTCCCACCTCATTGATTCTGACTTCACGGTAACCAACGTCAAACTAGACAAGAAACAACAAGAATGGATGTACAACACCTTCGAAGACATCTTCCTAGAAGCCCAGGCAAGATCTGTCGTCTTTGCCAACGAAACCAGCAAAGACACTCGCGCGATCTGGAAAGAAATTGACGAATATTACTCCAATTCCATGGTCGCAACCCTGCGCTCGGAAAAGATTTCGTGTTATCTCACCCCCGCCGATATCGCAGAAGCCACATGGAGAGGGTCCCAAGCTGGTTCCATCTCCAACTTCCTCGAACAATTTCGGCAGTAAAATGAGATCAGCGATGAGCCATACACTTAACAACAGGGTGCACGTTTCTTGGAACTCTCAATCTCCAAGGCACCAAATCTCGCTCCGGTACGACGTCTCGCAATGAAGACCAAGAAAGCTGCAGGCGACACCTCCCAGTTTACTCTCGAGCAGGACCGAGCGGCCCTTCTCGAGCAAGCACAACTCCATGACAATGCAAATCATTGGACGTCCACACGCTCTCGAGGCAACGCTCGTCGTCGCAACTACCAACACGAAATTATCTTCGACTATGGTACAGCGGAAACCTGTGGCGACACCTATGAGGCACTCGTCCATGATATGGATACAACGGTGGAAGTCCTATTGCAAACTCATCAGACAGACACTCGTCGTCCACGCAAGGTCATGATTAACGCAACCACATGGCGGTCGTTGTCCAAGTCGCATCAAGAGGCATGGGATAATATCTTCCCGAGCAGGGCAAGAAAGGCATTCTTGACTACACGGCTGACCTTACTGTTTCGAACGTAGTCACCACTAGTCCCCACAACCTCTGGGCATCACGCCATCCCGCTCAGTCAACTCTCACGATCTCCTCGCCATGGGCAGCACCACGCCCCGAGCAGGCAACCTAGCAGTGTCCTCGCACCAAACAAAATCCAACAAGACGGACAATGACCTATTGCAGCCCGCCTGCAACAAGACGCATTCAACGACAACGTCCTTCGCCGGTGAAATCGCGTCCGTTCCCTATCACAGTCGACAATACTGCGTTACACGCGAGGTACGAGTCCACGAGGTTGATCGCTCATCCTACGAGTTCTACTCCCACGAGATGTTGTTCAGAGAGCCAGAGATTGACACTTATTGGCAACCCTTCGTATATTTCTCTGATGAATCTGAAGACAGCCAAACACAAACCTCTTTATCGTGGCGATACGACGACACCATTGGACCTCCTCGACGTACCCAACGATGCGGATCCTTCAATGCCCGCACTCGATGATGGAGAAAAAATCCTTCCTTCCGATGATCAAGCTTTCTCACAGTTTGCTTACGGTACCTCCCAAAACGAGGCTATTGATACGAATTCCCAACAGCAAATCCAAGAAGATCATGAAGGGTACCACACCTTCGAACCGCTAGTTCTGTGCGATGAACCATTCGATCTCTGGACACGTCCGCGCATCTCCTCAGCCATAGAGGCACAGCTAGAACCTACGACACCTCCTGTGATTGGCCAACTCATGGCTCCACCATACCATCAGCTTCAGCAACCTGGAGATACACTCTTGCTTCGCCAACGCCAAGCTGCCACCAAGCTCGAGCAACAGTTCTTGGCCGATCTTACAGCGGAAGAAGAACCCGTCACAGAAGCCCCTATTGCGGCGATACCCGCTGTTGACCCGGATTCGCTATCGCTCGATATTTCCCAACCCCAACTCGACCCTTCTTCCGATGTTGGGGCCGATATCGACACTGACTTCAGTTTCGCGACACCAACGAGGCTGACTTCCCGGAAGCCCCATCCATGCGCCACATCAAAGGCACCCATGGAATCCGCAACGCTGTCCGACAACGCCGAATGCTCAGACAGACTCCTGATGCGCTCGCACCTGCAACAGGCAATGGCATCTCTGCCGCTGACTATTCACGAGAGACTCAGTCATGAGTCGAACTCAAACCCTATCTAGGATCGAGTCGCGAATAAGGCTAAGAGCCGTGTATTGCAATAACCCTGATGCGGCCATGAGGTCTCATCTCCACACAGATCCAATCCAGCGTTCTTGGTGATGGAGTTAACATTGTGGCAGAGTACCTTGTAGATAAAATCGTACTTGTAGCATGGGTCATACCCTGGATAGTTCTTCTTCACTGCCAAATAGTTGTTGCAGAGTTTGTAGATTCGCTTGATCAACAGCCATCGTGTCTTGCCCATGGCGCCGCTGATAATAGGACAGTACTGAACATTGCCTTCCCTTGTATCAAAGCGACGGAGGATAGCACCATCACTTCCACCCAACACACCATCCTGCACAACAGACCAATCCCAGCGAACAAACTCGTGAATAGAAACTGGACGGAACGCATGATAGTAGGAGCTGCCAAGTTCAAGCTCAGTGACAGCATATCCGTTGCTGTGAACAGCAACATCTTTGTAGAAAGACATGCGTGGGTCATTTTCATTCTTTGATGTGTCACAGATTGGAAGGATTAGCTGGTAAAAGAAGAGGGCGTCAGGTGTACCGTCGTCTTGCAACATTCGCTCCTTGCAAAGTCCAAGTGCAGAAAGCCTCTCGCCATCGAGTGATCCCTTCCGGCTATCGGGAAACATGTTGAATTTGGTTGCACCAGACCGGAAGCGTGGAATGTTCTCTGGAAGTTCCCATCCGTCGTAGAAAAATTCCCAGCCTTCACACATCCTCTTGTTCTGGTTGTTTGGTGGAATAGGAGTGGCACCGGTTGGTAGGGAGTGGTAGAGATACTTCTTCTTCCGACTGGACCCCTTTCCTTTTGTCTCAAACTTTGGTCGAAAAGTAAACTCGCTCCAGTTGCCTGGATTGTCAATGTCAGCAAAAGAAGGCTCCCCTGTACTCTTTGCAGGCGCCGCCCAGTCTGTTGGAGCGCCTGGTGGTTTCCAAGTGTTGGGTGCTCCAGGAATGGTGATGTTCCGCTTGCCAACTGGATCTGTAGATTTCAAGGGCAATTCAATGGAGGATGCTATGGCCGCAAGCTCTTCTTCCACGAAGTCTGGATTGCTGTGCTCGGGCTCAAGAAGATCACCCAACAGTTCAGTAGCAAGTTCCCCTTCATCGTCAGAGTCATCGTTTGGATTCTTGTCACGACAGCGGCTGTCATACTGGGCTTCGAATTCTTCGGCGGGTATCTCTGGCTCCTTCTCCGGAGCAGCAGCAGCTTGTGGAGTACTCATAGCTCTGGTGGACTGGCGACTGTTGTTCCTTCTGTTGTTCCTGTTGTTGGTGATGTTGTTGGTGATGTTGCGGAGTGGTGTGGATGCAGCCGCTGCAGCTAACGTGTCCAATGAAGTGCCCCCAACGCCAACATTAGCATTTTCACTTGAACGATTTTGGCCACTCCTTGTCGAGTTACTTAGATCCGAAGCATGCGAAAAGGGCGTAGAGTGGCTAACCACCATGGCGGGCGGATCGTTGCCTCTGGCTGAATGAAAGGATTCCTCATCGTCGCTGTCAGAGGAAGATGATTCCATGGCTTTGTGCTGTCCACGGCGATTTGTGTCATTGTGAGATGCGATCGATCAATCTGTCGGATCTTTGGTTCCAGTCGCGTTAAACGAGTACCGCACGCTACGCGCCCAAATCCACTGCCCGGCAGTCGACGAGCTACTTAGACAACAACAAGGCATACCTATCTTCATTAACCCATATGCGGCTATGCTACCAGCTCCAGCAGGGCAAGAAGACATGCTTTCAGCGGCAAGAGGAAGGCGCGGAGCAGTTGCGTCTGTGTTAAGAGTTTCGAAGCCCGCAAAGCTAGATTCACTCCCTGGCAGTGGATTCACGAGTATGCCAAGACTAAACGATAGAAGTTACTGTACAAATATTTAATCTCACAATATTTGGATGGTCTTAATCTGCAGTGGGTCTTGATGTGCAGATCACTCCATGTATGTAGTAGCATTGGACTTGGGCGTGTTTTGGTGTTGGGGGTTGGCAGCGTAACCCTAACTCTTCTGCATCGTTAGTTCCGTTTCTCTGATCAAGGAAAAGATCCAAACGCTCAAATGCAACGCCAGACAATGATGGGAAGAAGAGTACCAAAGATGACGGGAATTGCTTCGCAGTGGCTGCTCCTTGTTATCCTCGCCGTTGCACTCACCGTGCCATGTTTTTGTGGCGGTGATCATGATCAGGCACAAATCCAGTTTGATACCAGCAGCAGCAGCAGCAGCGTCACGGTCACGGTGACCAGCGACGACCAACAGCGTCTATCCAAGATCGATCCCGACAGTGGAATTGTCATCAATTGGACTGCTTTGGAAGAGATTGCAGTCAATTATTCCCACAGTCCCCCGGAAGAATGGTTGCCTCCACCGACTGCCAATTGTTCCTGTCTCCACATGAAGTACCGTCCTCTCTACTGTCCTTGGTATCTCAAACCCTTTCGAGACCCCTTTGATTTTGTCGTGACGGAAACCACCAAGTGGCCGGTATCGAGAAAGCTGTTGTCCTGTCATACGAATACGGATGATACCAACAACAGCATGCTCAATGGACCCATTCATACCGGTCTTCCCATGATTGCTTTTTTTGGAACCGAATGTTGTCGGGTATTTGACAATGCCACACAAGGATACATGGCACTCTCCGCCTTTGACGATTGCTGGTACGAAAAAGACGAGCTACAAACCTGCTTTGCACAAGGGCATCGTGTCCCACAACATTTGACCAATCTGTCACCCAAACAATACCAGGCACTCTTGCGCAATGCCACCTATGCCGATCGAGCAACGCCTCATTTGTGATCTAGCTAGATTTGACAATTCACTGTGCAAAGGTTGTCTACCATAGTCAGTCGTTTCTTACGAAGCAAATCGGAGCAGTGTTAGGTAGAGATACTGTACCGGTACCGATACGCTGACAAGGAGATCCATCGTACCAGAATAGTTGTGCGTGGTGGTCTTTTTTCACCTTCGGCATGCTGGTCTACCGGTAACATACATGTAGACGGCAAGAAATGATCCAGGCAACCAACAACCAGGAGCAAACTTAGCTAGGTGGCTTACAGCATGGTGTTCGAGCTTTGAGGTGGACACTGGTCGACTCGACTCAATCGAGCCACCATAGTTCGAGGACAGGCGGCAGGAACGGAACCGCACCTTTCGCTGGTTCGCAGTGGACTGGCCTGGCCCTCCAACCAATCGGGAGATTCAATCCTTTTGGTCCGGCACCTGACAAAGAGAGCTCAAAGCGCCACTGCGAAACTCCTCCCATCATTTGAAACTCCCCTACGGTAGGAACAGAACAAATAACCAGACGACGACATTGCTCTCCGTTTGTGTCAATTGTGACGATAAGATACATCAGTCTATGACCACATTATTTGATTACGTAAGTAAATAGAAAGTCGTGCAATGAAGATGCGTGTTGGCCTCTACCGGTAGCTAGCTAGTTGCATCTTAGGCGTAGAGAACTGTCCCCTCCTTTTCTGCTTCTGGGCGAGCCAATTCCACGTCCCCTCCAGCGTACCGGTAATCACTCTTCGCCTTCGCAGACTTCGCATATACCGTTGCTTTTGCTTGCTGCTGCTGTGACACTTGACCGTAGGAATGTGCTGGTGCCACTTGATGTGACACAGGTTGCGGTTGCACATTAGAAATGCAGCAACAGCTGAACTTCTCCATTTCGTAAGTCTCCTTGGACATGATACCTTTCTGCACTTCAACGATGAAACCAACGTGTGGGTAGACGAACAGAGCTGAGAACGCAGCAGTGATAGCGAGAGCAGCGATATTCGAAGAGACTGTATAGCATTCGTAGTAGCTGCCCTTGTTGTTCCATGCGTTGCACATGCTCGTGGCAAAGACAACGCCAAGGATCCAACCAACGACGATCCAAGCAGCATTGAGGCCAACCGCAAAGGCATTGAAGGTCATGGCGCCCCAAATGGCACCAATGCCAAGGACGATTGAAGTGATGCTACGGAATGATGAAAGACCGTGAGCGGCACAGATTGGGATAGTTCCAACTACTCGTCCACTTCAACGTACCTAAAGATCGTCTCTATGGTCGCCATTGCTTGGAAATGCTCCTCGCATTCTCGATTGGTTCCATAGTAGTACGACGAGCATGCGTAGCTCAAGTAATTACCAGACAAAACATAAAGCAAAACAAGACCCTCCAAAGTTCCAAGGACTATTGCAACCGCGATCACCGCACGCCTGTAGTCGCAACAGCAGCAACAGCACTTGGCTCCTTGCTTCCTGTAGGGCGCTATTTCGTCTGGATGATCCATCCTCAAATGCTTTTTAACGATTGTATTTCGATGATGATGACTATAATAGCTTTTGTGAGAAAAGGCTGCATTTGATTAGAAAATTGCCCACAACAGGAGGGTTCCAAGGGCTTCGGTTCCAGACTTGCTTCTGATTTGCTTATTTGAGATCTTTATCAATTGCAGCAAAAAGTGAGTAGACTTCGGCTTCGCAATCCAAGCATGCCATGAAACGTTCCATTTTTTGGTGGTCGTCGGTATACTGAAGGGTACACCATCCTCTGGATTCGATTCAACCTTGGCACAAGGGTTCCCACACTGGTCTTCGGTGACTTCTCATGAATGAAGCCAACCTGTTCACCCGCGCCCACATATCAAATCCCCCCCAATCTCCTCCTTCAGTTGGCCCCGTCCGTCCTGCCTCTGTCCATGTCCACGGCCCGACATTCCCTCTCCCCAGCCTTGCTTCGTCCTTCCATAGCCATAGTAACCATCGTCTTCAATCTATCACTTCGGCTTGCTTTCACCAGTGACACACTGAAGGTGGTTTCAGGTGTGCTTCAGGTAGGCTTCAGATTTGACGCCATGATGTGGGTTCCTGCTCTCATGGTGTCCCATCTCGGTGGGGTTTTTTGCAAGGAATTGGAGACGACATTAACGAATTTGAGGCTAGCTAGATACTCAATGCGTGACAACAACATGAAAATTGATTCTACTGGTTACCGCTGATGTTTTCCCTGTTTCTCTGTATAGTTTCTAAGCTAGTAGACTCAACTATTGGCATAGTCAAGATCATTTGTTGCAGTCACATCATAGACACAGCTGGCAAATGCTTGGGCATCGGGCTGCAGATGAGCGCATGCAACTTTGGCCTCTGCTTCACCGATGCCCTCGCCAAGTCGACGGGACTCCTTCTTGCCAAGATCAGGCAGTCGGCACTTGTTGGGATATTGTGGCTCTCGAGCTGTTCGAAACAGCATTGGTTCATCGTCATGGACCTGCCACTCCTGCCCCATGGTATTGATACCATCATGCAAGTCAGTCACTCCATCTCGGGCCAGCATACTTCCATCAAAGTGGCCCAACACACCAACTACATTCACAAAGTGCTCATTGTGGTTGATCTTGACAGAGACCATGTCCTTCATGTTGCTAAAGGTCACATTCTCGCCAGGTCCAAGAATGACATCAAAAACGTGTTTTTTCTGGCTCATTTGTGTATGGAAGATGTCATATCCTCCCAAGTTGTTGCTGACAAGATTGCCATTCCGGAGAACACGCTTGGCTCGACTGTTCAAGATGGCATCTTCAACATCATTCAGCGCATAGCCTCCCCAGCTGTCTACCTCAAGAGTGTCATTTCCTATCTGGATAGCAGCGGCCTCAATGTAACTGTATTCATATCGAATGGTAGTGCGGACATGAATTGTAAGGTCCTGCTTGCCATCAAACGTGGGTGCGTGGACAAGCCGGAGGTCACTGTGTGGAAGACATTCAAATCAGCAAGAAGGCGAGGTGCATTTAGATTCATCCTGTTCACATAGGCATGAGAGAAACGAACCATCCTAATTAACTCACCACTCGCCCATATATGAGAACCAATCGCCATTCCATGACTTCAAATGGGGGTCTCCAAACATCTGAGGATCCACTGATGGGCAAGGCGGAAAGTTGCAAAGGGGGGGGACCCTGCTTACGCTTGATCCATCTGGACATGCAAACATATCAGCTGTACAGGCAGGTGGTTCTTGAGTTGCTGGTGGTTCTTGAGTTGCTGGTGGATCAGGAGGGGCGACTGGACCGTCAGGTCCGCAGTAGGTCAGGTCATCCCCATAGCTGTTCGTCCCAGTGCAATAATCCCTTGCTGCTCCACAATCTGACCAGCGGCATCACAACAGTTGAATTGATCGCTGCACATGCCAACTGCACCCGGAACTTCGTAGTTGCAGAAGGAATCCAAATCTTGGCAATCATTGCAGTAGGAACCAACCGGAGCATTACTCTGGCACGTAGAAATGCCCCACGAACAAGGTCCTGGATCACTCCAAAAAGTAGGATCTTGGGCACAGCAGTGAGACTGATGCTCAGAAAAGGGTTCGTAGGTAACAGGCTGTTCCCCGCACCACGTGTGAACATGGTTGTCTTTGGTTCCTTGACAAACCTCTTGAATGATATTGCCAGGGCTGCGATCATCATATCTCCAATTTGTTCCACATCATTCAAACGTTCCACCGTAGCAAGCCATTCCAATGGTAAAGTATTGGGGTCTGTAGATTTCGACAAACTGGGTACAGTAATCATCCATATTGTGGCAGGTGTTGCACGGATCATAGGCATCACATGGATCCACACCTGCACAAACTGCTGAGGCTGTTACTGACTGCAAGCAGCACTCATTTTGGTTTGCAGCTGCGTAATACACAGGGTTAGTAAGGAGAGGTAGAGCCAAAAGGAACTTTGCCGGAAATGGCTTCATGGTGGCAATACACGATATGGTGGTAGTCGGCACAGAGAGAAATACTGTAACGGAAAAGTGTGCTGGAGTGTGGAGAGTGATCGGCGGTGCCCCTCTCCTCTGAGCCTGTGAGGCTTTGACGGGATGCTCGACTGATTGGATGCATGAAAGCTATGGATGATCGTTCGGAGGTTTCACCATGACCATACCTCCGCAGGTAACTGCCTGAGTTCTCAACCCCTTTAACCTCGGCAGGTAAACTGCCTGAGTTCTCAACCCCTTTAAGTGCTATGTTCCTATTTCCTATTAACATTTTCTATCTCCATTTATACCTTCGGCAGGTAAACCCCTTGGGGGGCTCCTTTTTTTGAAAAAAAAAAAAAAAAGAAAAAAGTTTTTCCCCCTTCAACCCTTTAAAACAAAAAACCCCCCACACCGCCGAGGCTTAACTGCCTGAGTCTCTACCCCTTTAATGGCAAAATTCTGTCTGTGGGATCCCCTGGTTTTTGTCTGTGGATCCCCTTTTTTGTGTCTGTGGATCCCTATCCGGTGAAGCAGGGTATAAGGATAGAGATAATGTAAGCTGGCAAAACTGGAAATTGAAGGTTCAATAAAAGTTAGGGGTAGGAATATATCAATGTAATTTAAGTTAGTGCACTCAGGACAAAAACACAATAAGCTAGCAGGTGTTGTAAATTTAGAGTTACACGATCGAATGATAGCTGTAAATTAGGGTTGGCCCATGCTACATATGCTAGCTTAATATAAACAGAAGGTTACAATGAGGGAATGAAAGTGGGCGGCAACACACGCGAGTCGGGTGTTCATAAAAAAAGAAGGTTATAATGAGGAATAATACGGGCGGCAACACACGACGAAGTCGGTGTTTGCCAGGGCTACCTTGAAAGAAGGTGCAATCTCAAACATGATCCTCTTTCTTCTATTGTCTTTCTGCGAGGTATCGGCTCCCGCTGACTTAATGCTATTTCCTATTTCCTATTCCGGTGAACCAAAGTATAAGGATAGAGATAGTCATAAGCCAACAAACTGAACATTGATGGTTCAATACAAGTTAGGAGTAGGAATAAATCATTAATATTTAAGGTTAGTGAATCATCACAACAGCAACAATAAGCCAGCAGGAGTTGTAAAGGTTAGAGTTACAATAAGGGAATGGCAGCTGGTAAATATAGAGTAGCGGGCGCAACACACGACGTAGTCGGGTGTTGTCCCAGGGCTAGCTTAATAAAAAGAGGTTGCAATGAGGAATGAATGATACCGGGCGGCAACAAACGAGTAGTCGGGTGTTGTCGCAGGGCTGGCTTGAAAGATGGGTGCAATCTCAAACATAATCCTCCTTCTTCATCTTGTCTTTCTGCCGAGGTATCGCAGCTCCCGCTGACTTACCTATTTCCTATTTCCTATTTCCTATTTCCTATTCCGTGAAGCCAAAGTATAAGATAGAGATAGTCATAAGCAACAAAACTGAACATTGATGGTTCAATAAAAGTTAGGGGTAGAATAAATCATTAATATTTAAGGTTAGTGCAATCAGCACAAATAAGCCAGCAGGAGTTGTAAAGGTTAGAGTTCAATAAGGAATGGCAGCTGTGTAAATTATAGCAGTAGCGGCGGCAACACACGACGTAGTCGGGTGTTGTCGCCAGGGCTAGCTTAATAAAGAAGGTTGCAATGAGGGAATGAATGATACGGGCGGCAACACACGAACGTAGTCGGGTGTTGTCGCCAGGGCTGGCTTGAAAGATGGGTCAACTCGAAACATGATCCTCCTTCTTCTATCTGTCTTTCTGCCGAGGTATCGCAGCTCCCGCTGACTTAATTAATAGTAAGATATTCACCATTACTCACCAAGGCCTGTCGAGAGACCCTGAAACGCACGCGATGTTACACGTATAACTCGTATCACTCGTATCACTCGTATAACTTGTATCACTCGTATAACAGGTGTAACACTCGTATAACAGGTGTAACACGTCTTACGTGTGGAATACGTATAACACGTATAACACGCGCGCCAGCCAGCCACCGTGACCGTTCGAGTTTCGCAAAATGACTTGACTCCAACTTGACTTCAAAACCAACTCCAATCTCCACCACAAAGAACCACCATGACAATAACCTCTCTTCTCTTGTTTGTTTGAAGGATACAAAGGTTTCTCTTGTTATTTGAAGATAGCACCATCATTGTGGGTAAGTAGGCAATGTGGTATGGCTTTGTTGAAGCCAAGAAGACTGTTCCTGTGGAAAGATAGAATGATTTCTCTTCATTCAACTCATTCTCCATTTTTCTGCCTCCACTCTCTTCCTCAGGCCCTGTACAGCCTTCAGGACCATTCTCTTTGCATCCATATACTCCTGAAGGCTCCCTGACAAACCCTGTGGAAGACCTGGCCTTGAATTCTACCATTGTCAACCACTTTCTGTAGGGACCAGTACTGAACCCATGTAAGTACCTCAGCGCGCAACACGTGTTACGCGTGTTACGCGTGTAACACGTGTTATGGTGTAACACGTGTTATGCATGTAACGTGTATTATATGTATCACCCGTGATATACGTATCTAGCGTGTAACACGTAATATTTCTGCCTTCTGCGCTGTCGCCCGCTGATGCGTGATACTTGAGAATGGTACCGTCTGGCTTCACCAAAGACAAACCACTCCTTATGCAGACTCTTCCTTAGAGATTCGATTTGTTTCGAAGTTAGAGATGAGCACTGTCCGTTCATAAAGTAAAGTCTTAACAACACTTGGCGAGAGTGGTTCTTTAGGCATTGTTCCGCTAGTGTAATGGCTTCTGTGCCAAGATGAGTACTTAACACTTTCACTTGTGCCTCTTTCAGTTGTACATGGCCACGATGAAGCTTGTTGCCTGTCTGGAAATTGGGTAGATACATCGTCTTGTTCCTGGCTATATAGAACATTGAAAGAGAATGAACATTTGACACCCTCCCCCTCAACAGGAAGCTGAGTTGGGTGGTTTTGTTGCTCTCCTTTTGTGGACCTTTGTTTGTAAAAACGACTCCTTGGACAACATATGGTAATGTGATTCCGCCTCTTATCGAATCCCTTGTTTTGATACGGAATCCAGCAGTCTGCAAGAAAGTACAAAGTATGGCATCAAAACTTCTTTGATATGCGCCGAATCACAAGATTGATACATCGAAGGTAGCCAATGATACACCGTCGATTTCTCCATTCGATAATTATCGAACCCCAGAGTATCCATAATGTTTATCTCCTTTGGTGTATCATCAGTTAGTGAGGTTGCTACATTCGCAATGATTGAAGCAGGAGTCCATTCTTCATCATTGATATTGTATCTAGCAACATGGGAGAGTTCAGATAGGTAAGAGTCCATTTTACTTGATAAGCTGCCAGGTATTATGGCCTGCAACAGTGCATCTTCCTCTCTGCCTCCCAAACACCTAGCAAAACACCTGGCAAAAAAACTTAGCAAAAATTCGTCACTATGTATTATACGTATAACACGTACAACACATAATACATGTAATATGTATAATATTTTTCCACTTGTATTACTTGTGTTGTACGTATGACTTGTCTAATACATATTAAAAAGGTTATATGTGTAATTCGTATGATCTGTAGAATACATAGTGAAAATGTTATACGTATAATACAACCGCGTGCGTTTCAGGGGCTCTCGCTTTTGGTGTGGTGCGATAATACAGTGGTACATGGTACGGTACACTGTGTACGGTGTACCTTCTATTACAGACTCGGTGGAGACCTGTCTCTTAAATCTACAAGGCTTTCAGACCGGTACACACGTACATAAATAGCTCACAAATCTACAAGGCTTTCAGACTGGTACCGGTACACACACAAAGATCTCATGCGGCTGCAGAATCGATAGGTCGATTACCGAAAAGGGCAGCCCGCGAGCCCTCGATAGCTACATGCAGGTCCCAAGGCAACCAAGATCTTCCCACTCCATCATTGGCTTGAATCAGATTGTACACGAGCTTGCTGACCTATCAGCATTGGCTTTCGCGGACAAACGCAAGATGTCAAAATTATATTTTCAGAAGGATTTGGGTACTTTTCCCGCATTCAAGACAGGCCAGGCCGGCCGAGCCGACAAAGAATGGGATGGAATCGAATCATTCGATCGCGATAATACATTTCGAAGATATGCCGCTGGCTAGCTAGGCCGAGATTTGGACCTCAAAAACCAAACAAACATCATGATCGTTTCCTACCGGTATCGCCGGGGCAAACCAGACAATGGAAGGATTCTGTCCCCATTGACTTTACAACGACCTTCTTATCCATTTTTCTGTTCTGCGTGCGTCACTCCGTTCTTGACAACAGGAGGGCAGTCAACGCATGAATTTGTGGTGCTATTGTGGTGATTGCTCTTCACACTATATTTCTTATCTTTTACCTTTCTACAAAGCTACAGTATATGTTGGATCTTCGGCGACGGGATTGTTCAATCTCACTGTCACCACAGCATGGTTCTAGGTGGATTGGTGGCGGCGTCGAGTTGTCTGCTTCACTCCAGTGATGTTGACAGTCTTCCCTACAAAAGACTCCGTTCCACAGATCTGGTTGGTAACCCAATTGGCCAAGTCAGCGCGGTCGGTTTCAATGGAAGGTCCCTTCTCCTTGTCATTGAAATAGACAAGTTTTCCAGTGGCCTTGCTGTCGACCAGACTTGTCGGACGAACAACGCAGGTCCTGCTCTTGACCTCGGGGACAGAGAAGGCCAATTCCTGTCCATCATGGTCCTTCAGGACATGGCGAAGATGAAAAGAGATCATCATTCCGATGCCCATTCCAACAATGATGCTGGAGCTTCCAGCCCCGATACTGGAAACCACCATGGCCTGAACATGCTGGAATTCCTTCTTCTTCATCGCATTGCTTACGGCATTTGCTGACACGGTGCGGATGTCGCTCTTGGCTACGCTGTCGCCACCACCGACGCTCACGACAACAACGTCTGCCTTTGTTTGGCGGAGTGCCTTCTCGATATCTGCTTCATCCTTGGCATTACCTTGGACTACAGAAGTGCAAAGGTTCTTGTCACTCTCTGCGAGTTTGGATGGGCTGCGACAGAAGGCATGTACTTCGGGCTTGTTCTGGTGCTTTGCGAAAGCACGGATACACTCCGATCCGGTCCTTCCACTGGCTCCAATCACAAGGACAGATTTCTGGGTAGTATCAATGATGTTGGGCATGCTTGTTTGGTTTTTGATCGAAAAAGCTGCTTGAACTGATTTTGGTGTTGCTTGTGATTCTTTGTGTGAAGCTTTTGATTTGTGAGAAGAGAGAGACGGAGCCGAAATACACGTCCAGTGGCAGAGCGTTTGCTCGTGTTGTTCTGAGGAAATCCATTTCTTTTGGTTTAAGGTTGCACGGCAAGGTATTGCCTGAGCATGCTAGCCGCGGGTCGAAGTCGAACTAGTATGGTACCAGTTGGCTCTTGCTACCGGTGCCAGTATGTATAGCTAGTAGGAGCAAAGGTGGGTGGTGCAAAGTAGGCCAAGCCACCGTATTTAACACTGACCACGGGCAAAGATACGCACCACGGTTTAGTCCCATTTGAAGAGAGCTCTGGACCTGGAGCTCATCAGCATACATGTAGCTGTCATCCCACTTCCTGCGAATTCCTCGCCTTCCGTGACTCACACCGAGTGGTGTTAAAACTGTTTCCTGTTCTTGGATCCAAATCCACAAAGATCTTGGGAAACATCGCCACCTTTTTTTTTTAATACTGGTCGCAACATCCCCACCGCTCCAAAAGCTCACAAAACAACTTTGAATCAAATCAAAAAGCAATCAAAAGAAAACAAAACAAACATCATGACAACTGGAAACAAGTCTGTCCTCATCATTGGTGCCACTGGTGCCCTTGGTCTGCAACTGTTGCGCCACCTTGCCAAGAATTCCAGAATTGAAGAGGTGCACATCATGGCTCGCACACCCAGCAAGCTTCACTCAACCGATCAAGCCCTTGCAGCTTCAGTGCAGAAGGGAAATGCTCGAGATTCCAATGATGTGGAAAATTCATTGCGTGACTCCAAGGCCAACTATGTAATTCTCGCAACTGGCAATGGCCATGATGTTTCCAAATCGGATACTCGTGAGGCTACCGGTCGTGCTTTGGCTTCAGTGTTGAAGAAGTCAGAGTTCTCCACTGTCCAAGCTGTCATCATGAGCAGCCATGGTGTTGCTGAAACCAATGTGATTATTGGGTTTGGTCTTGGTATGCTTCTCTCATACTATTTGCGCAACGTCTTTGCAGATCATGAGAACCAAGAAGCTGAATTTGACAGGTTGAAGAAGCGCACTCTTGTTGTCCGTCCCAGTAGTTTGACGGATGACAAGGCTATTGGCAACTTGGACTATATTGTTGAGTTTGATGGTATCAAGAAAGGGCCCTCCATCAGCATTGATCGTTCGGATGTTGCTGCTTGGGTGACCAGAGAGATTGCCAGCTCCAAGGCATCCATTGGTGGTCGCAAGGTGTGCTTGACTAATGCCAAGAAGATCCCAAAGACGTTGTAAATTGGCTGCGGGCGATGGACGTGTAGTGATTTTGGAAGATCATATGATATTCCCAGTGGTTTTCAGCAAAGATGAAACGTAGCTTAATTGATTTTAAAAATTGAAATTAACTAGAAAGTGGAGATTGAGATGGCTCAAATCGTGGGATGCACAAGGATGGAATCATTCGAGGACACAATTCCCACTCTCTCGTAAATCTTTCATATTCCCTTTCGAGCAATCTCGAAGGGTCTTCCCATCCCCATGCTTTTTCGGTAGCATTGTCTCGGTGATTTATTATTGCCCAATTTCAGCCTTTGGCAAGAGAGATCTTGGCGAAGTGTTTTGGATCTTGGCGCCGAAAAATGTGCTTTTCTATGCAATGAGCGAGCCGCAGCAGTAGCGCGTCATTCCAGTGATCAGCCATGAGCTGCAGTGATGTCGGCATTCTGTTTCCAGCGTACCCGATTGGCACAATCATACCAGGGATCCCCGTCAGGTTTACCAAGAACATATACTTCATGATCTCCCCCATGAGCGGGAAATTGCACTCTCCAGAATCAAGCGCCCCTTTTGGAATGGGAGGTGCCGTCACTGGAATGCCTGGGGTGGCAAATACGTCAATCTCCTCTGCAAAGAGCTTCTCCATGTAGGCCATGGCCCATCCGCGCAATTGACTGGCAGCTAGAAACTCAACACCTGACATGCTGTTGGCAACGGCAAGCTGTATCAAAGTTGCAGGTTCCAAGTCACTTCGCGTGTGGTATTCTCTTTCGGTGATATAGGACAGTTCCATAGAGACCACGAAACCGTGAGCTAAATCAAGGGCATTCAGGTGAGGTATTGTCACTTCCACAATCCGTGCGCCACGGCTTTCTAGCTGTTGCAACGCCTCCTTGCACCGTTGGTTTATCTCATCATCGCAATCGTTGAAGTAATCCCAAAATACCCCTATCCGTACTCCCGAAAGGTCGGAGATGTTCGCAAAGTTGCAAAGGTGGGGACGTGGTGGTCCTTCTTTGCCTCCATCGTACCACTGTCCGTAGTGGTGTTTGCTTTCATTTTGTGCCAAAAGAGCATACGCCAGTGCAGTGTCTGTGGTTGTAGCAGTATTGACGCCAGCATGTGTGTTCCCAGAAACCAAAGAATCGACGTGGGAGCATGGGATCCGCGAATATGTGGGTGCCAACCCAAACGCTCCCGACAAGGCGGCTGGGAGCCTGATGGATCCGCCATCATCAAAGCTGATGGCAATGGGAACCACTCCAGTCATTACAGAAACGACCGAACCAGAGGACGATCCGCCGGTGTAGCACCGTTCGTCGTATGGATTGAATGGCCCTTTGTAGTGTGAATTGTATCCCAAGGGACAACGTCCAAACTCTGTCATTACAGTAGTTGCCACTATAGTCGCCCCTGCTTCGCGGAGGCGGCGGACCATAATGTCGTCCTCTTTGGAGGCGGAGTCTGATGCAACCCGCGGCTTTCCTTCGAACGTGGCGAAACCTTTGACATCCAGAGTGTCTGTCGGAACAATGATTAGTCGAAAGTGTGGTATCAGATTCGAGCAGTCATCGCCACGGGGCAGAGGCAAGCCCAGCTAGTGTGCGCATACCTTTGACAGCCACTGGCACTCCATCAAATACACTCAACGGTTTCTTTGATTTCCACCTTTCGTCACTGTCTTCGGCCTGCTCCAGCACTTTTTCACGGCTGAACTCCATGAACATGTTCATACACTGGAACTTCTCCATGGCGTCAAAGACTCTCAGCATCATTTCGGAAGGCGTGACAGTTCCCTTGGAATATGCCTGATAATAGTCCATGACTCCAACCACTTGCTGAGTGTCATAGGATATTGGAATCCCTGTTTGAATCGCCTCCGTCGCGGTAGCGGCCATTTCATCGGTGACTTGGAGTGGTGAGTTTCGTCGTAGCGGGAGAAAGGCAATGGGATATCCCTGTTTCAGCGCCTGATTGGCCAGGCAACGCATCTCATCGGGTCCATTGAGGTTTACCAAGAAGCGCCTGCCCAAGTGACCAAAGAGACTATTTCGCAGCAACCACGAAGCGATCTTCAACAGAATGCCATCCACACGAGGAGCGAAGATGGGTTGCAGGTCGTATGCTTTCGTGCCCAAGACCATTCTTGGATGCTTGTGAAGGGCAATGTCGCTGGTGACACTGCCAACAAAGAGAATCACCGAAATCATGAGCCCCATGACATTCAGCAACTGGAACAGTTGTTCCGGGGTGTGATGAACCGCATTCGATGCAAAGATACCACACAGCAACGCCGAAATGGCAATGGGCGCCACTTTCGAATCCATGCTGATTGATTCGCAACAGCCAGCGTGTCAACAGACAGGAGAGCTGTGAGGTGAGAAGACAGAGCGAGTACCTGGCACTCTAGCTAACTAGTGGGTGCTTCTTCAAGCTAGAGCGGAGATCTTGATCTCATAGGGAGACATTCAGCTACCAGGTACCAGACTGTTACCAGTAATAGGCAGCAGTATGAATACCAGCACCGATAGCCTGGTATCCTGGATCCAAATCGAGGGATTGACAAAGATTGATATGCCTCCTGGCTCGTCTCCGTTTCCATAAATCTTTTATTACCAACACCTAGTATTCGCGCGCTCCGCGCGCTCATCCCTTTCTCTGCTTCGCCCCGATCCTCATTCATGCGAAAAATGTGAAGAACGCAAGGCGACTTTCATGTGCATGTACATGCGTTGACTGTATCCCGTCAATACAATACTAGTCGAATACGTAGACTTCTACAGAGGCCTCTAAGTAATGCGCGCGGGGTATAATTCAAACCTCCACTCCCCATCGGTACCCTTACCCCTAAAAGCAAATCGTCTCCGGGAGACGAAATTTAACATCGATTTTCCCGGTATCGAACGAGTATGACATACTTTACTGGTGCACAACATACGGTAAGGAAGCTGGCTAGAGTTCGTAACCCAAAAGTACGGTACCACCCTATCAGAGTTATAAAAGATGGAAATCACAGCCAGCCACGATGTCATGATAGTAGCCAACGACAGCACGAAACAACCAGGACCGTCCACACCATAATTTACCCAGATGGTGTGACTGGCTTGAATGATGAAACAATGCCATGGGGCGGGAGCAGGAGTGGCAGGTCCATGAAGAGCTATAAAAGATGGCTAGCTACTAGCTAGCTACTAGTAGCAAAGTATCGCAACATTACTCTATCCTAATGGCATCCAAGATCTTCCAACAGTCAACCGGAGCCCAGTGGTGTCTGGTGGTTTGGGAGCGGTGTGGGTGCATCCCAAGCCGCCGTGGATTGCTGCGCGACTAAAATAGAAGTGGGAATAACTCCAAAGGACAACAAAGACTTTTGGCCTTTTTTGCCAAACCGTCCTTCCGTTCAATGGTTGGTCGCCTAAATCTGTGTCAACCAGCCTTGCTGGTCTGCATGGTTGCTGTGTCAACGATGAGAAAGCTATCAAAAAGGATGGAAGTGGCTGCCCGACATCGAGGAGAGTAGAAGCAATCCCGAACCGAAGCTATAGCGACGATAGCAATCTCCCTGCCTGTTGGCATTCCTGTACCCGTACCTGTCCATTGTGGGTAACCTGTTCCAACAAATAAACTTGATACCCAAACCATTGCTCAGAATCTGCCGCTCTCTGCCCACCCATCACCGTGTATACCAGGGTAACTCGGCAGCAATATCGTTCCACTTAGTTGGCATCCATTACACCACTACAACGACAACACACCTTGGGTTCCACAAAGCCATGTCCGAATTATTGTCCGACAGCGACTCCTACGTCAGCGACAGCGATGCCATTAGCGACAGCGACGGGGAAGACCACCCTCCCAGGCGAGGCGATCCCTACGGTGACGAGGACGACATTGAATCGGCTGCTGGCTCTGTCGTTAGTGATTCGGACGAAGACCGATCAAGATATGATGACGAAGGTTCCAGAGCAGGATCGTATAGTGGTGAAGAAGGATCGTACGGTTCCAGACGCTCACATGACGAAGGTTCTTTTGATTCCAGAGTGAGTGGGTCGGCGGATGGGTCTCGATATGACGATGAATCGCAGTATTCCAGAGGTAGCGGCTCCAGGGGCTCCTATGATGACGAAGGAGGTTCCAGGGGGTCCCATGATGATGATGATGGAGGTTCCCGCGGGTCTTATCAATCAGGCTCAGGGGACGAAGAGGGGTCCAGGTACGGTGATGATGTCGACAATGATGACCTGGATTCAAGGGGGGAAATCATCAGTGGTTCAGAGGAAGAACATAGTCATCACGACGAAGATCGTAGCCAGGCATCTGCTGGTGAGATCTCGGAAGGTGGGTCAGAAGTGGATGATGGCAGCCGGTCAGATGATATTGAACGGTCCCAGCATGATGAGGATCAAAGTGTTGTCAGCGATTCAGACGATGACGACATAAGCGTTGCTGCAAGTGAAGACGACAATGCTGGCCCTGATGCAAACTCGGAGGGCGATATATCTGATTCGGATGACGGGGGATCCAGAATAGAGGTAGATGACGACGAAGCTCTGTCAGAAGCACCCTCTGATGGTGAAGTCAGTGATTCAGATGCGGAGAGCAAAGCTGCAAAGAGGGAAAGCAAAGCCATCTCAGAAGCTTCCGATGGTGGTGAAGTCAGTGACTCTGATGAAGAGAGCAGAGTCTCCAAGACAGACAGTGAAGCTCCATCGGAAGCACCCTCGGATGGTGGAGTCACTGATTCAGATGAGGAAAGCAAAGCTCCAAAAGGGAAAGCAAAGCCCTCTCAGAAGCTTCTACTGGTGGTGAAATAAGTGACTCTGATGAAGAGAGCAGAGCCTCCAACAGGGAAAGTGAAGCTCCATCAGAAGCACCCTCGGATGGTGAAGTCAGTGATTCGGATGAGGAGAGCAAAGCCTCGAAGAGGGAAAGCAAAGCCCTCTCAGAAGCTTCTTCTGGTGGTGAAATCAGTGACTCTGAGGAGAGAGTAGCGTTGTAAAGAAGAAGAGCAAAGAGCAACCAGAAGCCTCCTCTGAGGGCGAGATGAGTGATTCTGATGAGGAAAGTGCAGCCAAAAGAAGAAGAGCAAGAACAGCCAGAAGCCTCCTCCGATGGTGCCATTAGTGATTCCGATGAGGAAAGTAAAGGCAACAAGAAGAACAGAGAACAACCAGAAGCCTCCTCGATGGGCCATAGTGATTCGATGAGGAAAGTAAAGGCAACAAGAAGAGCAAAACAACCAGAAGCCTCCTCGGATAGTGCCATTAGTGATTCCGATGAGGAAAGTAAAGGCAACAAGAAGAACCAAGAACAACCAGAAGCCTCCTCGGATGGTGCCATTAGTGATTCGGATGAGGAAAGCAAAGGCAAAAAGCAGAAGAGAACAGAACAACCAGAAGCCTCCTCTGATGGCGCCATCAGTGATTCAGATGAGGCAAGTGCAGGCAACAAGCAGAAAAGCAAAGCCCCACCAGAGGCATCTTCTGATGGGGATATCAGTGATGCAGATGAGGAAAGTGCCGCCGCAAAGTCCAATCAAACAGCAAGTGAGCCTGTCCAAGGCGCAATTGGCAACATGATCATGGCCATAGGAGGGGAGCTGGCAGATGGTGTTTCTCAGTTGACAGGTACCAAGGCTCAGTCCAACAATGATGTAGTTGAAAAGTCAAGCACAAAGGAAACAAAAAGCAAGGAGATCAGTGGTGACAGCAAGGATGTCTCATCATATGGAGAGACAGGCAAGAAAAGTGCTGGCAGCAACAAAGATGCAAAAGGGTCAAGTTCCAAGCAAACTGAGGCTGATTCAGGAAGTGAAGATGGGAGCAGTGCATCAGAAGAAACTGAAACCAACAAAAAGGCAGATAAGGGGAACAAGAAAAAAGACACAAAGAACCCAAGCTCCAAGCAGACCAGTGATTCAGAAAGTGAAGAAGGGAGTAGTGAGTCTGAAGAGGAGGCCATCGAGAAGCCAAAGAAGAAAAGTGATGGCAAGGAAAAGAAGGGCTCAAAGGCTAGCGATTCAGAAAGTGAAGAAGGGAGCAGTGAGTCTGAAGAGGAGGCCAGTAAGAAGCCAAAGAAGAAAAGTGCTGACAAGGAAAAGAAGGGCTCAAAGGATAGCCATTCAGAAAGTGAAGAAGGGAGCAGTGAGTCTGAAGAGGCTGAGGCAAGTAAGAAGTCAAAGAAGTCAAGGAAGCCAGAGAAGAAAAGTGATGGCAAGGAAAAGAAGGGCTCGAAGGCTAGTGATTCAGAAAGCGAAGAAGGGAGCAGTGAGTCTGAAGAAGCTGAGGCCAGCAAGAAGTCAAAGAAGCCAAGCAAGCAGAGTGATGAGAAGGAAAAGAAGAGCTCAAAAACAAGTGATTCGGAAATTGAAGATGGGGACAGTGGGTCTGAAGGGTCTGAGGGAAGCAAAAATGGAAAGAAGGCAAGCAAAAAGAGTGATGACAAGAAGAAGAAAGGCTCAAAGACCAGCGATTCAGAAAGTGATGAAGAGAGCAGTGGATCTGAAGAAGCCAAGTCCAACAAAAAATCAAAGAAGCCAAGCAAGAAATCAAAGGCCGGTGATTCAGAAAGTGAAGAAGGGAGCAGTGAGTCTGAAGAGGCCGAGACCAGCAAGAAACCAAACAAGGATGGTAGTGAGAAGAAAAAGAAGGCCTCAAGGTCTAGTGATTCAGAAAGTGAAGAAACTGATGAAGGGAGCAAAGGGTCTGAGGACAGCAAAAAGGGGAAGAAGACAAGCAAGAAGAGCGATGACAAAAAGAAGAGCCCCAAGAAGGCAACAAAAGAAGATGATGGTGGTAGTAGCTCAGAATATGAGAGCCTGTCTGAAGAAGTTGTATCCATGAGCAGCGAGGGCTCTGGCGATGGGAAGGGGGAAAAGAAGGGTATCGCTGTTAAAAGGGTGAAAGTGAAGGAGGAGATGAGTTTCAATCATTCTATTGGAGATTTTTCTTCTGAACCTCCACCCAGACGCGGGAGCAACTTTGTTGGTCGGCGACAAGGGAGATTCACTGAGTACTATAGGATCCAAGATCAGCTTGGGAAGGGTTCGTTTGCCAGCGTGTACTCGGCAAAAAACAAAGAAACAGGAGTTACTCTTGCAGCAAAAGAGATGAAGAAATCGCCCGAGAACGAACCAAACAACAAGCTCGTCCTTCAGGAATTCGAAATCCTCAAGGATTTGGATCATCCGAATATCATTGTGGTGTATGGTGCGTTTAATGCTTGTACGGAGTGAAGCTCAAGCCTGGAACTGCGTGCTCACCGTCAGTGTCAATTGACAATGATATGTTTACTTACTACTTATGCAATGAAAACCACCGTGTCGCAGAAGTAAGCCTGAACGATCTGTACACCGCACCAAAACTACTTGTTACTCACCCAATGCCCCTTCTTGCTTTCGAACTCCCAGCTTTTTGAGAATGAGGAGTTCTACGTTCTAGTTTCAGATATCTGCAAGGGCGAGAGCTTGACGACGGAACTAATGGATGAAGATGAATGCCCGTATTCCGAGAAAAGGGCGGCAGAAACAATGAAACAGATTCTCTCCTGTGTGGACTACTTTCACGGTGTCGGAGTGGTTCATAGAGACTTGAAAGATGGAAGTAAGTCCCTTTGTCGCATGCTTGTTCAGATCCCAAACCAGGCCTAATCTGTGGCCTCAATGCACTCGTAGACATACTGTTGGAAGAAGACGACCCGGACCGGATTCGAATTATCGACTTTGGCATGGCGACACGCTGCGAGCCTGATGAAAAGCTATCTGAAACAGTGGGAACTGTCGAGTACATGGTGAGTACATCAGACCCCAAACTCTCTGCAACTCGGTTGTTAGATATGCTGCTCTAACCCGTTTCCTTCCCGTCGTTTTCTCGTTGTAACACCACGTATACATAGGCTCCGGAGGTGCTTGGGATGAGTTACAGCTATCCTTGCGACATCTGGTCATGCGGGGTTATACTTTTCTTGTTATTGTCTGGCAAGCAGCCGTTCAAAGGTTCGACAAACGAAGAAACCTTTGCGAATATCGTGAACGGCGAATTTTCGTTTTCGGATGAAGCGTGGGAGTCCGTTTCTCTCGATGCCAAGGATTGCGTGTACAAGTTGCTGACATGGGATGCAAGTTTGCGTCCCACGGCTGCTCAAGCACTGGAGCATCCCTGGATTGCCAGCAATGGAACAAGCCGCGTTATCAAGACTCTCGAGCCGCCGAAAAAGGAGGAAGTGGAAGTTACGAAGCCTCCCGAGAAAACCGAAGTTGCGGAGCCTCCCGAGAAAGTTGAAGCTGTCGAAACAAAGAAAGAAAAAGAAGAGGTAGAAATCGACGCGGAATCAAAACTAAAAGATGCTGCGTGCACATTCATTGCCTCGCAACTCCTCCCGAAGTCAGAAAAGTCGAAAATCAAGGCAGTTTTCCAGACAATCGATGGCGACAAGGATGGCAAACTCACAAGAAGCGAAGTTCAAGTCGGATATGCTGAAGTGTTCGGAAAGGACCTCAGTATCGGTGAGTTGGATAGTGCCTTCAAGCTTTTCGACGCTGCTGGGAGTGAAACGCTCGACTACGCCGGATTTGTGCTTGGTGCTCTGGACAAGAAGAATCTTCTGAGCAGGGAAAATCTGGCTACAAAAGTGTTCCAAATTTTTGACAAGGACAAAACCGGAGACATAACTATGCAGGAGTTCAAGGACCTTTTGAAGTTTGACCTTTCGCTGGAAAAGAAGGCCGTCAAGAAGATCTCTGCGGAGATGGGGAAGAATGCAGACGACAAGGTCTCATTCGATGTAAGTAGCGCAATGGCATATTGTGGTCCCGTCAGACCAAATGTTGTGTCCCGATGGCTCCATATCTCACCACTGACTCTTTTGTCTTCGCCAGGAATTCCTCCAAATTGCGGGCATCCCCGCAGCTCTAATTGAGGCAAAAACACCAGCCCCAACCAGTGAAGCAGACAAGGTTTCGAATGCGGAGGCCGAATCAGAGGAACCTTTAAGTGATCCAGCGACAACGGAATCTGAAGATCCAGCGACAACGGAGTCTGAAGATCCGCTGGATCGGAGTGAAGGGAGCCTCAGCATCAAGCTTAGTGCAACCCAATTTGTTTCCCACCGTTTGGGCAAGTTGACTGAACACTATGAAATCGTCGAATTCATCGCAAAAGGTACGTTCGTGTTTCGTTTCAACTCGTCAAAGGTGCCTACGACAGTATTCCTTCTAATCTTGGCTTGCGCGCAGGGAGCTACGGAACCGTGTGCTCCGCTCTTCATAAGGAATCCGGTACAGTTCGGGCCGTGAAAGAGCTGAAGAAGGCCAAGAAAAACAAAGCCAAGAATGAGCAGCTTCTCAAGGAGTTCCATATTCTCAAGAAGCTCAGTCACCCAAATATCATTCAAATGCATGGTAGGTAAATGGGAGGTAGTCAGTTGGCATCGTTGTTTGCAGAGTTCTGACTATTTGACGCTTTTCGTGGTCACCCCCGCGTTTTGGTCGTATCAGAGGTATGTCGATCTTTGTAACTCTGGAGTGTTACAACGGGCTGCTCTAACCGTGATTGTATCATCCTCGCAGTTGTTTGAGGACAAACGCCATTACTACATCGTAACTGGCGTAAGCGAGGGTGGAGACCTGCATCGAGAGATTAAGAAGCGAGGCACCTTTGAGGAACAGGACGCTGCCATATTGATGAAGCAGATTTTCATTTGTCTAAACTATTTGCACAAGAACAATGTCATCCATCGAGACTTGAAACCTGGGAGTAAGTCGCAAGAAAGCTTGCTGCGGTTTAGTAACCCGTTGTCTCACATTCGGGCTCCTTCGTTGGTTGCAAACAGATGTTCTGCTGGAAGAACACAAGAATCTCAACCATATCAAACTTATTGACTTCGGAGAAGCGATCGTATCAAAACCCACGATCAAGTTGACCGAACTTGCTGGCACCATGTCATATGTGAGTTACACTAGGTTTGATTGACTACATTGACTGTCGTTTGCGAGGCTAGTCTTGCTTACGCTACTCTGCCGATGATGACAGATGGCTCCCGAGGTGTTGGGCATGTCTTATGGACAGAAGTGTGATGTTTGGTCTTGTGGCGTTATAGCCTTTATTGTTCTTACTGGAAAGCAACCGTTCAAGGGGGAGACGGACAAAGAAACATTCACCAACATTGTCAGTGGGGCGGTAAAGTATGATGATCCCGTCTGGGAATCCCTGTCGGATGAATCTCAGGAATTCGTAAAACTGCTTTTGACATGGGACGAGACCCAAAGACCCACTGCAGTGGAGGCTCTCAAGCACCCGTGGCTAAAGATGAAACGACGTGTAACACCAGCAGGTTTGAGGGACACCACCATGCAGGCTCTCGCTAATTTGGAAGCCTTCGACGCCCAGTCGAAGCTGAAAATTGCAACGTGCACGTTTATCGCATCCCAACTGATGGATAGAGAAGAGAAAGAGAAAATCGATGATGTCTTCCGAGCCATTGACCTGAACCATGACGGAAGCTTAAACCGAGAAGAGGTCAAGTTAGGCTACGAGAAGTACTTTGGTAAAGAACTCACCGATCAAGAAATCGATACAATATTCTTGGTACGACTGGCTCGTTCTTTGCTTGTTGTGTAACTCGCAATTTTGAGTAACTCACCCATCATTTATTTTGTAACACCAGCACGTCGACGCCGATGGTAAGATGTTGGGCTCTTGTTCTGTTTTCCTTTACCGTCTGTCATAGTCTGATCATTCTTGTCATGTTTGTTTTGCTAGGTACTGGGGAACTTGAGTACTCTGAGTTTCTTTTCGGGGCGATGGACAAGCAGAACTTGCTCAGCAAGGAAAACCTGAAGAAGGCTTTTAGGATCTTTGATGTTGATGACGATGGGGATCTTACAAAAGGTACGAAGGAATGATTGCGTGTGCTGCGTTTCCGTTTTCTTCTCTCCTTCGACTAACGTTTCGCATCGGTTGCATTGATGATCTGCAAGGGGAACTCAAGACACTTCTCGGAGAAGCTTTGACGGACGATGACTCGGTTGATGAGAGAGCTTTGAACAAATTGATAGCTCAGGTTGACTTGGACGGAGATGGAAAGATTAGCTACAAAGAGGTAGGTAGTACTGTAGTGTTGTTGTTCGTTCAATGTGACTCGCGATGCTAACTACTTCGGCTTCAGTTTGTGAGCATGGCGCTTGGACCCCAAAGCGGAAGTTTATCGTCACTGTCACACGATGAAAAGGAGAACAAGGAAGCAAACAAACCAGAGGAGAAACCAGACGAAGTTCAAAAGAAGGATGTGGAAAGTCCAAAGGACGACGTGGCGGCAGACAAATCCGTGCCCTTGGTGGAAGAGCCTCCCAAGAGGGAGCCAGAGACGAAAGAAACGAAACGCGACGACGAGTCAACTCTTGACGACCCTCTGCTAAAGAGAATCGCAAGGGCCAGCCAAAAACAACCAAAGGTTTCCCGAAGTAATCGAGACCCACCGATTAATCGTGCTGCTCGAAGGGACCCCCCGACCGACCCGCATTCTGTAGAGAATGGCGCCCTTCCGGACCCCCCGCGAGTGATGGATAGGGTTTTGATGAAAGCTGCGAGGCAAGTTCCACTTGAGCCGTACTCGCGGGACGATATCCACCGCCAGCCTCTTCAGCAACGTGTGTACAGGAAACCGGGCACCTCTCAAGCAGTGCGAAACCTGAAAGTATCTCCTCGAGTCAAGAGAATTGAAGAGGCGTGCGAAGGTTTTGATCGGGTTCAAGAGAAGATTGCCCGTCTTCGAGTGCTTCTAAGCTCCCAGGATGCCGTTTCGAAACAACCAAGACCGTTCTCAACTGAGCAGCGTGTGCGGATCAGAAAACCAGGGAAGAGTCCAAACGTTGAGACTCTTGACAGCGCCTTCGCAAAGCTGAACCAGATCCAGAGCAAAATGCGTGCCCTTCAGACACTTGTCAAGTCAAATCAAATTCGGTGACAGAATAATGCTAACATCTATCATTTAGTCTCGGCCTGTACCTGGCTACGTTTGAACCAGGGTTTGGTTGGCTTCCAATAGCTGGACCATGAGGTCCTTCTTCGGGTGTGAACCCAAGGGCGTCCGTTTGATTCGCGTCCAATTGCCGAAGTCTATGCCTATATCTAGCTCTTGGTTCAGCAAGCGCAACATGTGAAACCAATATTGCTCTGGTGTTTCCGCCTCGATGTTGGTGGCAATGGGAGGAGGAAGATGTTGTCTCCAAGGTTTGTTGGAACCAAGGAAATGGACGAAGTCACGGTACGGCGCCATCCCCTGGATATGCAGGAAAACGCGATGTATGTGAGCGAGGTGCTGCCATCATGAGGTCATGATGATGAGCTTGACACGCATTTACCTGGGCATCATAGGTTGGAAGTTCTCCGAAAGTCCTCTCATACTTTCGAGGAAAACACGTGTACTGCTTGAATGGCTCATACAGCGTCTTCTCTAGTTGTATCCTATCTTTCGTCTTTATGGGACCATAGTTGTCCACCTCTTCACCGGAAACAATCGATGCACTACGCTTGTAATACTTCACCCAATGATACAACAGTCCTTGGTCTGAGAAGTGTAGAAACATTAGAAATGAAACAAGGATGTGCAATTTTGTTGATTTCAACAATTTTACTCCCAGCAGCTTCCTTACCTGCGTGAGACCCCACAAACTTCCATCTCCTTCTCTTATGCTTCTTGTTGATAGTCCACCAGGCATCGCTGAGCACACCGAACAGCGACAACATGAGCAAATGATGTGTTCACATGGAATTTTCGTTTTGAAACTGTGAACTTACGGTGGTTTGATTACATGACCCCAGCCTCTGTTTTCGTCAAATGGAACACCTTTGTCTTTCGCTCTTGCCTGCTGCTTGGCAACTATTTTCCTCAGCTTTTCGATTTCTCCTGGTTTTGGAGCTAACATGAAGAAACCTAATAGACAGCAAAGACACGTGCACCAGAATAATGAGCAAGCATCACTGGCAAGCCGTTTGGGTTTCATAACAAGACAGTCTCCTACCTGCATTCGCTGTATAACGAGCCAAAAACAAAATAAAACGCAGTACATGTCGTTAGTGTCTCAGCGCAGCTTGTTCTCAACACAAACGCAAGAAGACATACCCGGTGACCCCGAAAGGGCAATGATGAGATTCTTCTTGAGAACTGGTTTGGGGCTGTCGGATAAGTGAAAGACGTAGTCGAGGTTGCAAAACGGCATGACGTCGGTATCTAGAAAGATCACTCGTCGATACTCCACCAACTCTAGAATCACCAACTTTTGCATGATAATCTGATGAAAGTTTTCCACCTTGGGCTTGGGTAAGTACTTTATTTTCACACCCATCGCCGTCAAAAGGCGGGTGTTGTCCTCGGGCAGTTCCGTCAACGTAGAGTTTGCTGACATTTGGACGTACACGACCACATCCGCGGAAGATCCCTCCTTGTCGAAAATGTATGCTGCAATCAAAATGTTGTAAAACATTCCTAAATACCGACCGTCTTGCTCGTTGACACCTCCCATGACAAAAGCGTAGGCATAAGGAGAAGATGTGTTTCCGTTGGTCTTGGCCTGTTCCGACCGTTCCTCAAGGGCCGATGTCACGTACTTTCCAATCGGAAGATAGGAATAGGAAGTAATGTTTTTGGACAAGTCAGTATCCTTATACTCCTGGGTTCCGATCCCCGACGAGGATTTTGACCTTGTCGTTGACGGCGGCGCTTCTTTTTGTTGCTTTCTTGATTTCCCACTTCCCCATCAATGTGCTCCCTGCGTCGACGGCGGCCTCTCTGTCTTCGCTTCTTCTTGAGAGCTGCTTCAATCAGTTCATCGGAAGTTGGCCGTGCGGACAAGGGTACTGAAGCGTATGCTCCGTGTAGCTGCTTTTCTGGGTCCACGGATGAGTTGTTTTCGGGCGCATCGGTACTTGGCCGTACCGGGCGGGGTACAGAAGCGTATGCTCCACGTAGCTGATTTTGTGGGTACACAGAGTTGCTTTTGAGGGTAAGGGTCTTGTTGCGAGTAGCGCTATTGCGCTCGGATGAGGTTTGTCCGGCTTCGTGTTGTTGCTCTGAGCGGATCGTCGTATCGTTGCCTGATAGTTGCTGTTGCATCAGCGCTGAGTAGTTTTGGTCTGATGACAAGTGCCGCCTGCTGGACGACGAAAAGTCAGCAAAGGCTCCATGGTGCATTCGGGGGACTCCGGCGTCAGGAAGATCCATCAAGCCCGGAAAGAAGTCGATGTTGTCGTACAGTTACCAAAGCCGTCATTGAACAATGCACGATGAAGACGTACTATGAAGTACGATGGCACCAGTAACAGCAATAGTAATCGGATGCATCTCCGCGGTGGATAACCTCTCTGGTTGTTGACTGCATCGGGAGCCATCATGACATTATGGCAAATTTGTGATCATGTCGTCTTCAAACGCTGCGAAGTGCGAAGATTGGGGGAAAACGATCGAGGTGCGCGGCGCCGAGTTTTGATGGGAACGCGGGATTAACTTTTCCACGCCAAAACTGTGAGCGGACTTCGACGCATCCCGAAAGAAGCTCGGTCCTGACCCCTTCTTTAGCCACTATTGGCTGCATTCGATTGAAGGGCATGACAGACAACAATCATGCTGCCCCACTGTGGATCCAGCTAGAGGATTCCAGCGATCAGCTGAATCTCTTTTCGGCTTGTCCTGTGTGCTTCTTGAGTGTCATTGGTCCAAGCTCGTCGTCAACTGGGCCGAAATGCAACGTGATGGTGATTTCTTGGCTGATTGCTGCCGGAGGAGATTGCCTCGTCATGAGCATGAACAAGCGAAGACACACAAGCACAATGCTGAACAGTGGGTCCCCTGTTTGTTTGTCAATTATAGGGTCGCACAACGAGGAACTCGCCCTGAACGTCGGCAGCGTTTCGGGGCGGTGGGGAAAGAGCAAGTTCCCACAAGACTATTCCAATGATAAGGACCAGCAGACAAAAACACGTGACAGCAACAATGACAAGACGTATGCTTCTCGGGGCGACCAAGCTCGCATGAGTAAACGCGCCAAAAAGAGGCAACGCTTCGAAATGGGGATTCCCGGGTTGCGCAGAGAGAAACAAGGAAAGGAAGGGAAGGAAGCAGAAACGTTTGCTATAGAGGGCACTCTCGCTCACATCCACTGTCAAGTTGTGAGTAAAGAGGAATCCATCATCGATGACGAACACTACTTTGTACGAGTGGCGATGCTACGTGCATTCGTAAGAACGGCTCACTGGGATCCGGACACAAAGATATTTGCTCCCAAGTCCTTGGAACATTCCTCTACTTCGAGTTTCTTGGGATCCCAGTCCTTTGGGTACGTTGTGAGGAATCCACCAACAATCGACAACGCCAAGTTACCTGTACATTCCAAATTGCCACAACAAAATTCAGCACTGAAGTGTACTGGAAACCATCCGAAGGAAGCAGAGTCTGCTTGGATTCAGCTAGACGATGGGAAGCAGTTTAGCCGGCTGCTTTACCCCAACCCGTTATGCCTACTGGTGTTCAACGGCCATGAGGATCGTGACAAGGAAGGCGCTGCCAACACCGTCGTCCTAGAACGGGTGACAGCCACAAACAACACCGGGTCGTTCATGTTTTGCATTCCAACACAAGCAAACATCAAGGCGTCTTCCGTACGGGTGGGGATGCAAGTAGTGCTCGACGGAGCTTCTTGTTGTCAGTGCCAGTTCAGGGGATGGAAGGTGTAGTGAAAACAGTCAAGGATTGTGACAGGGTTGAATGCTCAATCGGCCAAGATGATAAAACCAAACCGGAAACACCAGAAGCTGCTGCAGGCAGGATTTCTTGGCAACCCATCTTGACCGACGATCCAAAATGGCCGCATCAACAAGGGATTGCAGGTTGCATTGCTCACATGCACTGTCGAGTATACAAAGTCGTGCGAACCGATAAAGGCACCAACGCAGCCATGGTGGTCTTTGCCAACATTGAAGATGCCTTGGTCCATTCCAACTATTGGGATAAGGAGAAAAACAGATTCGTCCCCAAGGTTGGTTTTGGAACGTACATGAAAAGACTCGGAAGAGATTCGTTTGGCTATGTTTCCGCAATCAAAACAGATTGCTCCAGGCAACCAAAATAGCTTACTTAGTCCTGACATACGTCAAACCTAGGCATTGGCTATTGGCAGCCGTTCAAAGTTACGAATAAGAAATGGTAGTGACAAGCCAAATCCACAAAACCAACACATCGTTACAGATACCAACTCTCTATCAATGCTCATAACATTAGATCATGCTCATTCAACCCAGAGATCTGATGCTAGAAGTCTATGGAATTTGCCATTCTATAGACTCCAGAGGCTGTGAAGCTTTGCGTTTGATTCTGGTGCTTCTTCTGGGTCTGGCAACCTGTTTGACCCCTGCTGAGACACTCCACATTCCATGTGCTCCACCGGGGGAAACAGAGGCTTCGCGCTTGAGTCTGGGGCTTCTTCTGGGTCTGGCAACCCGTATAGTCACAGCTGATACACTCCATTTTCCAGGTGCTTCCCTTAAGAGCCCATAGAGCAACGAGATGGCTGATGTCCATGTAGGATGCTCTGGTTCACTTCGCTGGGCTGCTTGTGCCAGATTATCGAAAATTTCTATCAAGTGTGTCTCTGGGTTTTGCACCAGAGACCTTCCATATCGGTTGAGTGTTGTGTAGTAATCAATATCTCTTTGTTTCTTGGATCTATTGGAGCAATCTTCATATGCAGGAAGGGCACTGATGTGAACTTGTTGCAAGGTGAAATTGCTCTTTAGCATCTCAAGGATGAGATCCTGATGTGAGTTTGCCAAGTTGTTGTCTTGGAGGCCAAGAAGCCCAAACTCCAGTAGTGAGGATCCTTTGATGGAGTTAAAAATAGGGGAAAAGAACCTGCTTGGAGGGTCTTCACCAGCCTTTTGCGGCACAGCAGAGACAACAAGAAACTCCAACTGCCCAGCAGTAATCAGGTTACAAACAGGATCTATCAACTTTTCATCTTGATAGCAAATTTTCAACTTCAGGCTTCGCAGAGCCTTCATTACATTTAGCCTGGCAGCCAATGCATCGGAGGTGCTATTGAAACCTACCTCTTCCACGTCCTCTTCATCGAATTGATCATCTCCATATGGACAATACTCTCCAAAGTTGAGGTGTCTTGTGCTCCTTGGAATATGGCGCATCATTAAACCCTTGTAGTGGCCAAAAGAACCCATCTGGAGGGCAGATGCCATGGGACTCAGCTTTTCTGGCCCTTCAGCATATACAAAGGCATGTGGGAATCTTTCAGCCAAAGGTCTCAGTTTTTCAAATAATTCATCCGTACTATCCACAGGTAAGATTTCTTTATAAGTGTCCAGTAATTCATGCATGCTTGAGGCAATCTCTTCGAGGGAGAGTGAATCGGGTCCTGCAAGTTCCAAAAGAAAATCAAGGATTTCTGGATTCGTGTTAAACCTGCATGCATCATAAATGATATCCGCATTCAAAGCTTCTGGGTCCTTGTTGTATGCATATCGGATCAAGTCCAAAGGTGCATGTGTGTGACAACCAGGTTGTGTAGCGGGGAAAGCAGTTGAATTTGCTGCAGGAATTCAGATTGGTCGTAATATTCATTGTCGCACTCTAGCCTTGGCATTGTACCGATAATAATATCTTTGGAACGTTGCAGACTTCAGTGCTGCCCTTGGGTCCTTGCTGTCACTTGTAATCTGGCTCTTCTGGGAGAGCTACACTACTGGTATGATAGCTCTATGGTATGGTAGCTCGAGTTGGGAAGTTGGGTACATGTACCGGGACGCTGTTCGTCTTCGTTCTCGGCCAACTATAAGCCAGCACCAATGCCAGGAATACAAAAAATCTCTTCCTCTTCAAAGTTGGCCGTTCCTTGTCGCACCCCCCTTAGCCAATTCAACTCCCACGCTTCAGGAAGTTCCGGCCGAATTTCCGCGATTGGGACCTCTCGGTTCGTGACTTAACCAATGAGATCTAGAAGCCCTTCCGAGCGTCAGAATACCGCGAGTGATGGCAATCGTGGGTACGTGGCATCGACGACCAGCTGTTTTTGGTCAAGCCACTTTTTTGAAAAAAATGCACTTTCAAAAAATTCCGCATGGTCGGCAGCACCCATCAACCTCGCACAGATCTGGATTGGCAGTGATAGATTGCTATTGATATCGGTATCATAGAAGCAAGCTCAACAACGATAGATTCCTTTATTGCCTTTATTGCCTTGCATCACTCATCTTATTCATCTGCAAAAGCCGGAAATTCTGTCAACCACGAAAATGCATCGTTCAGTCCTCTTTTTGTATTTGTTCTGTCCCACAGTTACTTGGGCCCTGGCACCTGCTCTGGTCCATACGGCCGTGGGTGCCATTGCTGGGAGTACCGGAGCCATTGCTGCCTATCCCATTGACTATGTCAAGTCTCAACTGCAGACGGAAGAAGGCCGTGAAAAATACGAGGGAGGCTTTGATGCCGCATTGGATATTGTTCGCAACGGCGGTCCGTTTGCATTGTACCGTGGACTCATGGTCAACGTGGTGGGTGTCGCACCAGAGAAAACTGTCAAACTGGGTGCCAACGCCATGGTGCGAGGAATGTTAATGGCACAATTGGGATACTTGCCTTTGGCGGGAGAAGTCTTTGCCGGTGGATTTGCCGGCGCCACACAAGTGATTGTCACCAATCCACTGGAAGTCGTTAAACTTAAAATTCAAACCTCCCAAATGGGAGCCAAAGAAGTCCTTTCGCAACTTCACGGATTGGCCGATTTGTACCAGGGAGCCGGTGCCTGTGTGGCACGGGATGTCGTCTTTTCGGCCGTTCTCTTTCCGCTCTATGCTCATACCAAGGTGGCATTTGCCGCTGCCTTGGTGGGTATTTGCCCGCCCGAAACCGTCACCTTTTGGGCCAATTTACTGGCGGGTAGCATTGCCGCGGGACCTGCCGCCATGATTTCCACACCCGCCGATGTCGTCAAAACCAGACTGCAACAAGCGAGAGCGAGTCCGCCACCGATGAAGGTGGGAACACCATTGACGGAATCGTCTTCTTCGAACAACAACTTGCCCAGTAATAATAGAGGGAGTCCCGTGCCATTGCGTGCGGCATCCTCGTCTAGTCAATTGTCCATGGCCAAGAATACGGTTGGTGTTGTGGAAGATGAGGAGAAAGCATCCATGTTCCAAGTTATGAATGATATTGCCACCAAGGAAGGGCCGGATGTGCTCTTTAGTGGATGGGCAGAACGGGTGGTTCGATCCGTTCCACAGTTTGGTGTCACGTTGGCGGTCTTTGATCTTCTCAACAACTACGCAATAAACCAAGGATGGCTCTTGGAGCAAATTGCCAACTAAGGATGGACTGAGGATGGATTTAAATTATTGTGAGTGACCAACAAGAGATGGCGATATGGAATCAGTACACGCCAAAAGTTTTGAACTGTGCCAGCTAGCTAGAGCAATGCATTAAACGATAGGGTACACATATTTTACATGACTATTACAGTCGTAATTCAGAATTATGCAGTCGTAAACATGGCAACGTTGTTAGACTCTACTACCTTGTTGTGGGGCGCTCGGCATCGGCAGCACAAACGTGAGCATAATGCGTATGCGATATGCGCTGCATAACAAAGAACAGCCCTCCTTTCCTTTTCCAATCCTATAATGGCATCTGCTTTATTGCTTCCGTAACAATGGTCGGGCTGCAGAATCTGAGTCCTACCTAACAAGTAGCTATTATATTCCTTGGGATTAGCAAGGAGAAGTAAGTATTTGCAGGAGGACCCAAAACAACCCTGGCTCTAGCTAGCTAGCTAGCTAGCTAGCTAGCTAGCTAGCTAGCCAGCCAGCCAGCCAGCCAGCCAGCCAGCCAGCCAGCCAGCCAGCCAGCAGCCAGCCAGCCAGCCAGCCAGCCAGCCAGCCAGCCAGCAGCCAGGCCAGAGCCAGACAGCCAGCCAGCCAGCACAGCCAGACAGACAGACAGACAGACAGACAAGACAGACAGACAAGACAGACAGACAAGACAGACAGACAGACAGACAGACAGACAGACAGACAGACAGACAGACAGACAGACAGACAGACAGACAGACAGACAGACAGGAGACAAGGCAATCTAGTTCACTGGGTATAATGCAGGGAAGAAGGCGAATACATACATTATCTTGCTTTCTACACTTCAATAACAGGAATGGAATCTTACTCATTTCTCTGGGATATGAAGTCTTGCAACCAAGCTACTACCTCGACAGAACCAAGGCGACACAATAGGTCTGCATTTTCTTCCCATGGGCAACCGTTCTCGATAGCGTATTTGAGGCATTCCAAACCGCCATGAAAGGCAGCATTGCGGCATGTTTCCGCATCCCATTCACAACCATGTTCATGGACATATGTCAGAATGTTCAAATGGCCATTTTGAGCAACGTTGCTGCTTGTTCGATATTCCCAATCACAGCCATGTTCATGGGCATATTTGATGATCTCCAAATGACCATTCTCAGCAGCATTGGCGCATGTCCATTCATTCCATGGACAGCCATTTTCGTGGGTGTATGTCAAAATATCCAAGTGACCATTTCTGGCTGCACCAGTGCACGTGGATTCATCCCATGGGCAGTCGTTTTCGTGGGCATATCTGAGGACATTCAAATATCCACTTTCTGCAGCGCTGGCACATGCTTTTTCATTCCATGGACACCCATTCTCATGGGAGTATTTTAAGATCTCTATTTGGCCAAATGCAGCAGAATCGCTGCATGTGTCTTCATCCCATGGGCAACCATTTTCATGGGCATATTTCAGGATTGCCAAGTTGCCCTTTCTGGCCGCAGTACTGCATGTGCGTTCATCCCATGGGCAGCCATGTTCATGTGCATATCGAAGACATTATCAGCAGCAGAGATGCATGTCCCACTGTTCCATTCGCAGCCATTTTCATGCGCATAATTCAGGACTTCCAACTGACCATTTCCAGCAACTTGCCTAGCTGTTTCCTCATTCCATTCACAATCATTTTCATAGGCATATTTCAAAGTTTCCAATTGGCCATATGCAGCAGCAACCGCACATGTCCACAGGTTCCATTCATAACCATTTTCATGAGCATATTGCAGCACATGCAGGGGTCCATTCTTTGCAGCTGCATTGATGGTACCTATACACCACTCAAATCCCTTGCTTCGGGCCTACTGAAGAACTCGAACACTACCCACTTTGGCAGCCATTTCACAGATCCTATTGCCAACAATCAGTCCACCAGTACCAGTATGGCAGTAGGCATACCAGTGCTCGGCACAGGTCACTGAGGAGAAAGTTCTGCCGTGGAAAGTATCAAGAAAGGTTGCTGGACGCCAATCACCCTCCTCCGTATCATAAACATATGGCAGCTTCTCTACAGCTTCACAATAAACTGTGTAGAGTTCTTTCATTCTGTGGCAGACTGGTCCAATGAAAGCATATTGCCCTATGCCAAGGAATGGTAAAATTTGCTTGACCCAAACATCTGTTTGATTCAGGAATTCTTGGCACATTTGGGCGTTTCAGGCTTGCCTGCCTCTTCACCTTCTTCTGTGGGGGCATCATGGCTTTGTCGGCCCTGGTGAAAGACATCATGCAAAGGGTGGAATTTTGGCTGCTTCTGCCACCAGTGAGCTCACATAAAATTGTGATAAATGTAGTAGCAGTACGCAATTGTTGGACATTGTGGCTTTCAACGTGTCAACGGAAGGTTAGAGCATTTTCTACCGTTCCATCAAATTTCGTTTAAATTCGGTCATTTAAACTAAGTCCAAACGAAACTTGATCATATCTATTCTCTATCACTGTTGTAGAAATGATGTAGAAATTCCGTTTGGATCAAATTTAAACCAAATGAAATGTTTAATTTGGATTGCCCTCCTCAAAACGAAAAATTCTCTCCGTTCAGATGTGGTTGTGACCGAAATAACCAGTCAGAATTTAAAGTGTCGGTGAGTCCAATGAGTCAACCAGCCGAGTCCAATAAGTTAAGCAATTGAGTCCAATAAGTCAATCAAACGAAAAATAGACAAAACTGATAGAGACTGTGTTTTCAGTGGTGACACTTTACCCTCTAAATATCAAAACCAAAAATGTTCATAGATATTTAAACGAGCGGTAGAAAATGCTCTTACACACTTTATTGGGGTGTTTTGGTCTGACCAGAAACCAGAACTTACTTCGCCACCATACTACTGGAGTTGCGGGGGATGGGCTTTTGAGAGCGGTTCTGTTGGTCCAATGGCAAGTTTGTGTCAATCTTCCACTTTGAGTCATGCTTACAGATTGTGTAATTCTTCCAGATTGAGTCATTCTTCCAGATTACGTCACCTGGTACAAGTTTGTACACGTTTTTACGTAGATCCTTCCAGATTGTGTCATTCTTCCAGATTGTGTCATTCTTCCGGATTGTGTCATTCTTCTATTTTCAGTCATTCTTCCAAAACAAAACAAGTGGGACCAGACAAACAATGTTAAACACGTATTCCCGCAACTCCACTAGCTAGCTAGCTCTAGAGTACCTTACCGTACTACCACTAGCTAGCTAGTAGTTACGGTAGTCTAGCTAGTACGGTCGACGAAGGTCGCAAAAAGAAAACCTGAGCCCTGATGAGCCAGCTGCCGAGCAGATTTTGGCCATGCACGTATGAAAGATTCGACAAGAATTCTTTCGACCCGAAAATTGAATAAGAGGTCGGCTCCGGGAGGTACAGTAGACTAGTCTACTCTAGCCAGCTAGCTACGGTAGTAGTATACGGTGGTACCGATACTAGTACCACCGACATCCTTTATTCATGGTATTCTGTATTCTGGCTTGCATGGACATGTCTTTTAAAATCAGCCACCTTCGACCTCTCTTCTTTTCGACTACTAGCTTGCTACCCACCATTGCAGTAGAGAAGAAGTGTCTGCAACGTTGACATGGTTCATTATTGTTTGTTCGAAGGAGATACAAGCCAACTTTATAAACCATAGTTTCGATCCAACGAGCCAGACATCAATAACATGACGCAGACCGTGAGAAGCACTACTTCACAGCTATTGGTCGTCGGCATTTGGATCATTGGCATTTCTGTGGTTGAAGCCTTTGCTTTGGAGAATTCAATCAACAGGAACCGGCACACATTGTCTGTGGCGAAGCCAACGCAGCCAACAACACCAAGTGACAAACCGGCAGAGAGTATTGTGCGGTACGACCTTGGCATTGGCAAGAACCCACCTTTCAGCGGCTCAATTGGTGCGGTATTACAAAGCCAAGAACCATCCGATATCTATGACGCCTGTCAATATCTAATAGAGCATGAAGCCGTGAGGGACATTCCGAATCCAACAAATACTCCTCGGGAACAATATGGGGCTCAACCGGAAAGCAACCAACGGCCAAAGACCTCAAATCGTATTGTGAACAAGCCCAAGATTATCTATCCAAAGCGCTCAGAGAGCGTTCTGTTCACGAGCGATAGATCACTTCGGGCGAAAAAGTCCTTGAGAAGGGCCAATAGGACCATCAAACCAGCTTCAGTGGTTGGTATGACGGACAGCAATGACGAGCTTGACATCAACACGGTTTGGGTGGAAATGCTCGTACACAGTGAGCAGTCGAGAGTTGCATATTCTGCTACTAGCTAGACAATAAGTCTAAGTTACCAGTAAGATAAACTTATCCTCATTGCGAACTTCCAATGAGGTCAAGTGGACATTTCATGCTATCGTAACCTCGGAAAAGTACCACTGAAGTGAATCTGTAGCCAAGCAGTTGAGAGTTGCATATTCTGCTAGCTAGACAATACGTTACCAGTAAGCTACATAAATTTATCCACATTGCGAACTTCCAATGAGCTAAAGTGGACATCCATGCTATCGTAACCTCGGAAAGGTACCAGAGGTGAATCTGTAGCCAAGCGCAGTGCACACTCTTCTAACCAGACCCGGCTACTGGCTCCTCTCCAAGGAGCCAGACCCATGTAGTCCATCAGAGCCAGGCCTGGGTCAAAGGCACTTAGTGTTGTCAAGTTGGGGATTATTTCGTTTGGGGCCCCCTTCTATTTCATTTCGACAAGTGGGCCAATAATAGATAGTTGGCAACATGAAGGCGCTTTGCGAAGCTCCTGAATTAGAAATCCTAGTTAGGGTCTCCAGTGACACAAGCTCTATTTTGAGGGCAAAGGACATTTCTCTGCATTCTCTAATAACATCAGTACGGTACTCGCCATACAAGAGGATACAGTCAAAGGTAACCTATGATTGCTCTAGCCAAAAGCCGCTCAACTTTGCATGACAGCTACAATTGCTTGGCCTTGAGTTGAGCTCCAACATACTTGAACGTTAAGATGTTGCTCAGTTTGCCTGGCTCCACAACTTCAAAGTTGAAAGACGACATGAGTTTGGGAATGATGTTGTCCATGTTGGATAACGCAAGCCTTTGGCCCAAACAGTCACGGGATCCAAGGGCAAACGGATATCTGTTCCGAATCATTTCCTTGGACGCATGTTCCCATCTCTCTGGATGGAACGTCTCCGGATCTTTGTAGACAGCTTCGTCTCGGTTTGCTCCATAATACGTCATGATACAGACTGCTCCCTCGGGAATGATGGATCCATCATTGCATTGAAAGTCTCTACCCGTCAGCCGCATGGACGCGATTGCGACTACGGGAACAATGCGGGTGGTTTCTTTGATAACGTACTGCAAATAGGGGGCGGAGTCGGACCCCTGCAGTTCTCGCCGTAGCTTTTCCTGTTTGTCCGGGTGCTTTGCGAGAAGCACCATAGTGTTGGAGATGGAGAAGCCAGTAGTCTCGTGACCCGCCAAGATCCAACCCACAATTTCAGCAATAATTTGTTCATCATCTCCTTCGGGCATGATTTCTTCAAAGAGTCGGATGATGGTCTTTTCCTCGGACTTGCGTGGATTCTTGCGGTAGCTGTACAGAACTTTTCGTGCAAAGTCTCGCATAAAGGAAGCACTTTCATGCGCTTGGCGAACTTCTGGATGAATCTTTCCCAAAAGTGCCCGCCAGGGACTGGAAATCTGACGCAAGAAAAATTCATTGCAGGCGATCGTCAAGTGGTGATAGACACCCTGGTACTCTTCTTCGGTGGGGATATATTCAAAGCCAGCTTCGAGGATGGCCATAAAGACCACCCGGTTGCACTCCATGCTTGGGTCGAAGGATTTGCCTTGATTCGATAGTTCTTTGAGTCGTCCCAGAAAGTCGTCGCCAAGTCTGCTGGCAATCCGATTCATTCGGTCCACTTCCCTTTTGGAAAAGGCGGGAGCCATTCCCTTTCGCATATGTCGGACGTAGGGGTCATGATGCGTTCGAATTCCAGCCGTTCCCTTGCCTCCCGTCAAATTGGTCAAAACGGACATGAGCCACCATGGCTTATCCGTCAAATTATCGTTGTAAATTTCTCGTGCGAGAGCCCCATCTCCCACCACATAAGCTCCTGTCATGGACAGAGGCATGGGGACGCGAAAGGTGTTTCGTCCCATGGTGGTGGCCAGGTGATGCAGCCACATGGGACCATCCGGGCCGCCAAATTCTCGGGCGCACTCTAAAAACGTCGTGGGAGCCATGGGAACCAAGTTTTTCTTGTTTTTGGAAGAGAAGAACCAGAAAAGAGCACCCGACAGAACCAACACAACGCCAATAAAAACCATCATGGTGGTACCAGTACTCCCAAAAATTTGGATCTCACTCATCATCATCGATGCTCTGGCTTCGTGGATTTGTGGTACATGTACCGCAAAGGAAGCCAAGAAGTCGAAGAACAGCAATCTTAAAATCTACCGCACCTCGAGAGCACAAGCACAGTGAATGATCGTCTCAATCGTCTTATCCAAATCCACGTCTTATTCTTAAATCTTCATACGTGCATAGGTCTTGCTGTACCGTGGATTCTCCGCTCGCGGGAACCAAGAAGACGACCCCCCCACGCGTGTGGCGGGATTATTATTACGCCACCACTCTCTAGAGCTAGACTACTAGCTAGCTCTTGGTATTAATTACTCTCCGGGCCGTTTTTCGTGCAACCGTCCGGAGAACAGATCGGAAACTTCAACATGATATAGTTAGAGGCCGAGTGATGGCTTGTTTGAAAGCTAATTCTTTCCTCTATGCAGTCATATATAACACTTAATATGTTTCTGAATATGGCTTAAGCTAACAGACTTGCTTATAAACAGCCATATTGTGAGTACCGGTCAGGTCGCTTTTAAGTATGGGGTATCGCTGAAATCAGTAAGACTTAGACAATTTGGTTTTACTGAAATCAGCTAAAAGGAACTATGTCCTGTGAGCAAACTCGATTTAAGTGGCTTTTTTATGATATTCATTATGGATACGGCCGGCTCGATTCTACATAAGGGACCAGTTTCCTTGTTGCACCAAAAATGGCCCGGAGAGTAATAGGTAGTACCAAGTAGCACTGCATGCAGGCAACTACCGCAGCCCGAAGCAATGCCACAGATCATGTCAACCAGAAGGGAACTGCGTCCGACATAGAAACCAAAGAGGCAGGCAGAGCCCGATATGCCCAAATCTGGTGTGAATTCCTGAATCAAGCTGATGTTTGGGTCAAGCGAATTCTGCCTTTCCTGCTGGGCTTGCTTGGGGCACTATAATAATAATATGTTCTTGGACTAGAATGTCATACAATGTCCCAATAGCACCAGTCTGACAAAATATGATGAAAGGTCTCTACACAGCTTATTTTGAAACTGCAGAGAAGCTGCCAGAAGTGGTTGATGCTGACACAGATGATGAAGATGACGAAATGCGTCCAGCCGCCCATTCTGATACTTTTTACAGTGCTATTTTCTGGCTGCAGTGTGTCCTTTGCTCAGGTTTGGCACATCTACTGGTATAGCTATGCATATGCATATACCATATCAATGGGACTAGTCTAGAGTCAGTCTGTGGTCTCAGTGTACAAATCCTTAGATAGCTAAATCGTGTCACACACTCTCAGGAGGTCATGTGGCTAGTGAGCAGACTTGAATGTGGAAGCATTGAGGGCTCTTCTTGTGGGTTGCTTGAAAGGGCAGACAATGACAAAAGCTGCTTTACCTTTTTGAAGCACTAACGAGGCATCTGCGGTAGGGTTAGAGTTAAAGGGAGAACGAAAAAATTGACCGTTGCGAAAAACGAGAGGCACGCTTGTGGATCTTTTTGGACGATGTCAAACCGAACGACGCCGAGCACTGCCACCGTCAACCTTCCGAGTTTCCACTCAGCCACAACAACAGTCATTGTCTCTTTGTTTGTGTAAGTGGCAACAAGGCAACCAGAGGAACAAGAAGGCCAACACTATCAGGAGAGAGAGAGAGAGAAAGATTGCTCGAGAGAGAGAAGAAGGGGTGCAGTTAGGTGAAAGAATTGTGAGGGTATCTGAGTGACAGGGCTATAACTAGCTAGTGGACTACTCTAAAGGTATTTGGGGCTCCGTCCAGACTCTGATATCCACATTGTCATCAGTATGCAGCCACAGCCTCCCAACTCTCCCATGTTTGATGGGGGTGGTCCTCCCATGGGTAGCCGAGGTAACAACAATGCTAATAATAATGGTATGATGGCTCCTCCCCAGTATCGACAACAGCCAGGTCAAATGATGCCTCAGCAGCAGCAGCCAATGCAACCACCCATGATGCAGCAGCAGCAGCAGCCACAGATCCAGTATCGACCTCAACAACCGCAACAACAGCAGAATCCTCAGTTGCAGCAGCAGCAACAACAGCAACCAATGATGCAGCAGCAACCAGGAATGGTCCACCAGCAGCCACAAATGATGATGCAACCTGGACAAATTCCACAGCCAATGCAGCAACAACAACAACCCATGGTTCAGCAGCAGCTGCAGCAGCAGCATTCCGGGCAACCACCAGCACAAGGGACATTGCCGCCTCAGCCACCACCAGCTAATACTAATGATACTACGGCTGTTCCCACCAAGGCATCCGTGGCAACCCCTCCGGAAAAAGCCAATTTGGGATTTGCTCCCACCAAAGCTCTCAGCAAAAAACACGAAGTCTTTCTACAAAATGCCACGGAAAACAATTCCCCCGCTCGCCCCTTGTACTCGTTTCAAGTCACCAAATTACGCTCCTGGAGGACCGGCTATGTCCGTCTCTTGCGGCTCTACGCCGACCATTTTTGTACGTTGGATCCGGAAACCCATCAAGTCACCAACACGTGGCCGTACACGGCATTGGCCGATTGGTTGGCCATTCCCAAAGAAGACGATACAATCCTCTTGCAAGTTGCCAAGGACAAACTCAAATTCAAATGTCATACCAATCGCAGTACGGTATTGACCGCATTGTTGGAATGCAAAAATGAATCGGCAGCCACATTGGCGCAACAGCAACAACAACAACAAGACCAAAATAATAACAACAACAACAATTGGATTGTCATTCCCTTTCCACAATGCCAACGACAAACGCGCAAAATGACACGCGTTCCCGTGTCGTTGCATGCCACTCCCTTTGGTCTGGTCGAATTGTCACCCGCCACACGCAAGGTCATTCAGACGTATCGGTACACGGACATTGCCGCGGCGTCCTTCACCACCGACGATCCACGCGGTATTGTCCTCTATCACGCCAAGAATACCGATACCCAAGGACATGTCCGGGTCGGACGACTCTACTTTATTCATTCGGCACGACAGGGTGGCAATGGTCGCAGTGATTTATTGACCATTCTGCAAGATCATTATACCATTTTAGGACTCGACCCGATTGACATGCGGCCCAGTACGACGGTGCAAAAATGGATGGAAGCACGACGGGACATGGCCAGTCATGTTGGACCCATTGCCACCACGTGGGCCGTGAGTAAAACAACACGACGACATCATGTCCAATGCGTCGGACCTATGGATGGGTGGGTCGGCGGCATTGTATCACGACAATTGGTCATTACCGGACGTGGGTATTTGATGGAAAAAGATGGAGCGGGTGTGGTCAATTGTAGACCACTTTCGCATTTGCATTCCATTGTACGAGTGCCGCATCGGGATTTGTTGTTGACTGGACAGCAACAACAACGAGACGACAATAAAAACGACATTACACAGAACAAGAGTGGTGGCGACCAGTTGGTACTGGAATTCACCCATGGATCTACGTGTACCTATACTTGTAGCAATCGGGATGCCTTGTTGGTGTCGTTGCTCGATGCCACCATGACCCTCGGGAAGAAAGCAACAGTACAGCTTTCCGATGTGCGGTGTGCGGGGTACTGCCTGTCGTCATTGGAGGATGACACAGAAGTGGAACCAGCTCCTTCTTCGGCAGCCTCGTCGCTGTTCCAACCCATTTCGATTCCCGTGCACTGTCTGAATCGAGTCTATGCCGTATCCATTGCAGCCTACGCCTTTGTGACGCATGCTGGAGAAACGGTGGATCCAGCCAGTGTACCCATCAACGTGGTGCAGCAATGCCAAGTAGTTGTGGAAGCTTGTCGAGAATTCAATGCAAGTGTCTTACCAACTGGTGAAGGACTTCCCTTGGGCGAAAAAGATAAAACCATTGCCGGAACCATTGGAGCCCTGTGGGGGCTGGTGTATGAACTCTTGCGTGTGCCGCCCAACATGTCCCAGCTGCAATCACAATTGCACGTCCGGGATCGCCAAGCGGCGGAACAAATTGCTTGCACACTACTTCAATCGTTGTATCGATTGTCGCAAACAACAACTGGATATAAAGTCACCGTGGAGTTGACAACGATGCAAGACTGTATCCCTCTGATCTGGCAGATCAAGGACGACTTTGGCAAATTTTGGGCCTTTCGAACGCTTTCCATGTTAGTCAGTGGAAAACGAGGGAAAATGCCACAGCTGCGAGATATGGAGCTGGAGTTTGTCAACAAAAAGGTCATTCTGACAAGGGGTGGACCGACGCTTGTCAATGGTCTCGTCAACGCTTTGCTGGAATCTGGACAATACGTCAACAATACCAATGGATCAAGAGAGCAACGTGTGAATGACTTGATTTTGATGGTGATCAGCGACATTTTGCAATCCATCTTGTGCTCGTATCATGATACCACGACTCCTGAGCACTTCCAAGCATTCATCGTAGCGTTGTCCAAAGGGTAAGTTGGAGCGATTGATTCTTTCCCCGTTCGGCCTTGAGTATCCGCGTTTTCAAGCTCACACAGCTGCATTGTATCTATCACAACAGATACAAAGCCTTGTTGTCGGCGCTAAGGTCGTCGACACCTTTCGTAGTTGAGAATGTGGCCCTGCTGTTGCACCTTTTATCCACTCATGCACCTGGAACATCCGCAAAAATCAGAGACGCAGCCCTGAGCTCTGCAACGCTGCTACATCATTTCCACGCGGCAATTTTCAGTCCGATGGAAGGACAACGCTTCCTGAGCCGCTATTTGTGCAGCCTGTGGCTGTCGGGGCCTATGGATTGCGATGAGAAACGGCTTTTGAAACGGATGGTGCCGGGTGGGTTTCTCAACTTTATGTCGATGCCACCCCTAAGTAGAATGGAAGAAGAGCAACTCGATGCTCTAGAGAGAGACAATGCCATTGAAGGCAACATCTCGGATAGATACATGACGACGGTGAGTCTCGATGACGACGGAGATCCCACCGTTGCAACTGCTAGCGAGGCAGCAAGTCAAACCGGCGCAGCAGGCACCAACACAGCAAGGCTTCGATCCCGGATTGCTCTGGCATCAGCAACGGCCAAAAACAAGCCAATCGCGGGTGGTCAACAACAGCGAAGCCCCAGAGACAACTCGAAACCGTCACATCCTGAAAACTTTCGTAGTGAGTACCTGTGGTTTAGAACGTCTGGTTGCTACTTGTACCTCTTTCCTCATCACGCTGCTGCCTCTTCTCATTCGTTTGCAGTCTTTTTCCACGTGCTGACGAAAGACCATAACTTGGCGGACCTAATATGGAACCAACAAACCAGGAGGGAGCTTCGAATAGCGCTTGAAAGCGAACGACAATACATATACAGGGAAGCCGAGGCTAGAGGAATCGAGAATATTGCTTGGAATCACCAACAATTCTCTGTTGAATATCCGTCTCTGATCAACGAGGTTAAGGTGGGCGGGACACGTGGAGTGTACATGCGCCTCTGGCTCCAAGCGGGCGATGCGTTTATAAAAACCTGGGATGAACCTTTGCGATTGTTTGAACAATTGTTTCGACGATTTCTGTGCGAATCAGACAGAAATCCAAAGGTGAGTGATCTGACCTCTGGCCAATTATTTTCAGATTGATGTGGCGCTGTGTGCTCAATAGTTGCGTACTGTTTCTTTGTAGGTGACTGTTATGTGTGTCCGGTGTCTTGAGCGTCTCTATGCCATACACGCACGTACAATCGGTCCCTTTTCCGATGCAATGATACTGGTTCGTTCGATGGCTTCAACTCGGAGCATAGAGACACAACATCGACTTCTCGGTTTGGTAGCGACAATTCTGGGCGTCTCACGTAACGACGACGGTGATGACGACGAGGGCATACACATCCCCGAGAACGCAGAGCAACTTCTCAATGCCGAGAGTATCGAACAACTATGCCAATTTGTTGCATGGGGCCACACCAATGGCGTCCAAGTAGGCAATCTGCTGACAACGGTCCTTTCGAGCAACCAAAAACTTCTTACAGATGGCACCAATTCTGGTCCAGGTGGCGCGGAGAATGAAGGAACTGGAGAGAAACAATCCGCAAATGCCGCACCAGACTCTTCCTGTCCTCCGGTCTGGTTTACAGCAAGAACTGGTCGCATCCCTCCACCAGAGGAGTCAATACGTGGTCCCTTTCGTGTGTCGGAGCTCGCAACAATGATGAGTAATGGAGATTTATCGCCCTTTGACTTGGTCACCGCCATCCATAGTGAGAGTTACGACGATGAAGATGACGCTGGTAGTGGCGGTGTGAAAGAGGCCCAAATCGACACTGGAAAATGGAAACGTGTGGAGCAAGTGTGGCAGCTACGATGGCAATTGTGCACTGACGGCAGTGGTGGGGGGATTTACTCTCCTTCGGATGTGGCTCTCTTGGCGATCAGATCCTTGACGCGATTGGTCGATTTGCACAGGAGCTTGGACAGCTCAGGAGTACCTTACTACCCTATTCCAATTGCCAAACGAGTGCTATGTGGGCTTAGTAGGGACCCAACACGATCGTCTGACCCCTCACAGTCCCAAGCGTCGCTACAGCGAGACTCGTTCTTGTCCATCATAGCCCAAGCTCTGCTCTGCAACGATTTCCGGGTGGTGGGCCAGGCTTCGGAGGTTCTACACAAGCTCATGATGCACAACGAAGAAGCCATCGCGAAGTTCTACCTGACTGGGATATACTTCTTCATTGGTTGCTACACAGGCTCCAATTTCAAGCCACTGGCAAAGCTTTTGCATGCAACTCACCTGAAACAACACTTCAGGTCTGGCTTTGCAGCCGCGGCAAACGAAAGCGAACTGCCGATGAAGGACAGAAGTGTTCTAGGGAACATGCTCCCGGAAGGTCTATTGTTCATTTTGGTCAACTATGGGTTTGAGCGGTTTTCGGAGATTTTTGTCTCAAGCTATGACACGCCCGAGGTGATCTGGGATTTCGATATGAGAAAACATCTTATTGAAATGATTCGCCAGCATCTGGGTGACTTCCCCAAGCGTCTCTGGCAAAACACAACCGCTCGGTACGAATTCTGTCCCATCCCTGGTGTTTCCTACAAGAGACTCGAAAAGGAGATATTCTGCCACAACTACTACTTGGCAAATCTGTGTGATGAGGTCAGGTTCCCGGATTGGCCAATTTCGGAGCCTGTCGAAGTCTTCAGAGCATGCCTCGAAGAACTGAAGAAGCAGCTGACCCGCGACGAAACAGAAGAAGAAGTTGCATTGGAAAGCGCAAGAAAAGTTCTAGATCTCAAACAAGGCGACGGTTCGAAAGAGTTGCGAAAGGCATACAGGTCTCTGGCTCGAAAATTCCATCCAGACAAGAACCCTGCTGGGCGAGAAACTTTTGAGGCCATCCAAGCCGCTTATGAGCTTCTACTTCCGATTGTGGAAAGTGGCCAGAAGATTCGGGTATTTAGCGACGACGGTGGTGACGACGGGGATGGCGAACAAGAAGAGAATGTTTTTGAAGGATTTGGGGGTGGTCGTTCGCAGATGCAGGCAATTCACTTGCTCATCAAGACGCAGCTTCTCATTTGCAAACGATACGAGAAAGAAATGAGCAAGTACAAGTATCCAGCTTACCGAATGGTGCTGTCTTGCTTGGAAATCCCCCCTTCAAGCAAGGAAGCACTCCAAAAGGAGGACCCCAGTGCGCTTCTGTTTGCAGTGCTCTCTAGTGTGAAGCGCGCCGAATTTATGAAGACAACCGTTGCCCTTGTCTTTCAGACCTGTTTGGTGTCTCCGCTGAACTCTCAGGAATTGATTGTGGAGGGTGGAGTCGCCATTCTTGATTCCCTTCTCAATTACTACATCCGAGTCGCGCAAGCCACGAGGAAGGGCGGATCAACAGAGTTTGATGCTGAAGACTGCATCATCGAAATCCTCTCGCACATTGTACACACCATTGCAGGAGTGGCATTCTTTGAAAGTGGGCGTGCCGCGATCCTCGCACTTGAGAACCCGACGCGACTGTGCATCAATTGGAGACGATGCATCGACATGAGGTACTTGAGTGTTTCCAAGAGGGAAAACATTGGCGATTCCGCAATCAAACGCTATGCCCTGGAGGGTGTTGCCAATATGGCAAGAGACGAAAAGCTGCAAGAGCTTCTCATTGGTTGTGGCATTGTTTGGCCTCTCATCAAATATATGCTGGGATATGATCCAACTCTTGAGCTGGTGGCGAACGTTCATGACGACCAAGACGATATCGGCGTGTCGCAAGCAGCAAGCAATACCCAGGCTCGTCTTTCCACCCGTGCGATGGGAATGCTTTGTGGCGTGCTGCAGGACAAGGCTCTTGTTTCCCCTCGGAATGACGCCCTGACTTCAGCGTGCAGCAAGCTCTTGACAAGCCCAGTCGCGTTGATGCTTCGCAACAAACGTACCGGCGAACTTCTGAAGACATTGAATTCGAATGTGGAAACTGCAGCTCGAATTTGGAATGTAAGCATGAGGAACGAGCTCAATTCATTTCTTCAAGAGACGGAAAAGAAGCGACCAGAAGCGGAGTGCCAGTCCATTGAAGATGAGCTGTCGCGTGTGAAGGACTTCGAGTATTCACTCCTGAAAGAAGAGCTTCGAATTGGTGGCGTGTATATCCGCGTTTTCAATCGAATGGGAAGCGGACGCGAGGCCATCAGAGAAGTGCCAAATCCCAGCATGTTTGCCAAGCACGTCACTGCATTCATAGCAAGGAGTATCAACGCAAGCGATGATCTGCCCGACGGTTGGGTTGAATTGCGCGTTCTTGATGAAGTCGATGAAAACGAAGCGTCTCCATTCGTAAAGGAGGAGTCCTCGCAAACTGTGTCAGTGCGTGGGACCAAGTTCCTTATGGCCATCAAGGCATTGCTTCAACTCGTCCGTGTGGATGGTCTTATCGACGATGTTTTGTGCGCACCTTCGAGTGCTGTGCCGTCAGTCCTTCTCAGCCTTCTGGAGCTTCCCCAAGATTCCGAGGTGAGAACAAGTGTGCTGTTGTCAATGTTTGTCTCTGTTTCTCTTCTCAGCCTTTCCCCTTCAGACGTTCGATATCGGCTGTGATATCCTGTCTATCATGAGCCCGAAGCAGCCGTTTGCTGATTCCGTGTCGAGACAGGGAGCTCTTTGGCGGCTGTTGTCGGTGCTTGAGCGCCCTGATCCGATCGAAATGCAAGAAACTGCCGAGTCCTCTGGTGATGAAGACAGAGCGATCATCAGAAGAAAAGTGAAAGGATGGGCACTGATGGAATCCTTATCGTCGTCGCCTTCTGTGGCGACGAAAATGATCGAATCATCGTGCTGGCTGGAACTTCTCGGCATTCTAGTGGGCTACGCAAAGTTCTCTCGAATGTGGGCAGCCCGTGTTGGAGCCGCAAAGACCTTGTCTCGCCTTATGTGGGATCCACAAACTGGACCGTCAACGGGTAAGTGGAAGATGATTATCTGCATGCCCGTCTATTTCAAAAGACTGACAATTAATCATGCTACGTTCTGCCCCCTCTATTTCTAGCCCCGCTTCTTCAACGCTTTCTTCCGTCAACACTTGTCGTTCGGCTGAAGGAAGAAGGGCCTGATGCAATGCTGAAGCTGTTTGATGGCGAAAGCGACACACCAGAGCTCATCTGGGACTCATCAATGAGAGCTGAGCTAAGAGGTGCGCTGTCAGAGCAGCTGGATGAGTGTTTGGTTTTGCGTAAAGAAAGCGGCGAAGACCGCTTCACACTGCCTTCTGGAGTGTTTGTGAAGTACAAGAAGCTCGAGGATGAGCTTTTCATTGGCGGAGTGTACCTATCGCGATTTCTCAAAGAACCAACATACAACCTTCGCGACCCGACAACATTCCTGGAAATGGTCATGCAGCGCTGGACACATGAACTTCAGACGTTCTTCTCCACTGAACTGTCGAGTGAAGAGAAGAAGTCAAGTTCCACCGCATTGGTGGATGCTAGTCAAGACACGTTGCAATTGGTGACAAGTGCCTGCGTCTACCTTTGTAAAGTGCGAGACTCACTTTGTGACAAATTGGCGCAGTGGGGATACATGGAGCGTTGCCTAACGTTCATCGATGAAATTTTGGACAGGCAATTGTTTGGTTCACCGCTGCTGAGCGTGATGCGAGTGCTGCACGTGGCTTCTAACCGCATTGCTAACGTTGAAGCAATATGCGTATCAGGCAGGAGCGACGGCAAGAACAGTGTAGTGGACTACACGATGAAGTCAATCAGCTCCGATACCGACAGTTTGCACCCGGACGCTGCGTTCATGGTCGAGATGCTAAAGAAAGTCTTCACTGTTGCACTGGGAGATGTGAAGAATGCCCCGAAACCGATGAAAGGACTGGCCAGTCCAATGACTGGTAGTATGTATGCCATGGCACCATCTCCTGCTCCCGGAGACGACCATGTGAGCAACATCTTGCACCAAAAGAGTGGCGAAGAGTATATTCGTTTCATGGCACTGGCCATGGCGCCTTCTCCCGCTCCAGGAGAGGGCTATGTGCAGCGAGGAAGAGTTGCAGTAGGAGATGATCCACTTGCAATGTTTGGAGGTGCACCAACGGCACCACAGCAGCCCATGGGAGGTAGTGGCGGCCAAGGCCATATGCCACAGCAGGGCTTTAGTGGTGGTTACGCAAGTCAACCAGCACCAATGAACACTGGCCAAACTTTACCGCAAAGCTTCTCAAATCAGAGCCAAACCCCACAAATGCCCATGGGAGGCTCTTCCTTCATGCAACAATCATCGATGGCACCGCCATTTTCTCACGCACAACAACATGGCAACCAGTCGTTCAGAGGGCAGGGTATGCAGGGAATGCCTTCACGGGGATTCCAGCAGGGTGGGGGAGGTGGAAACCCTTCTCTGGGTGCATCGTACTCAAACATGGGGAATTCATCGTCGATGTCAAGCAGTGGATTCATGCAGGGTGTGGATGCGTATGGGAGACCACAAACGCCTCAAAGCGCAGGTTCGTCGTCTGTTCAATCGAGTAAACAGCCGGGAATGTTCCACAAAGCTCTGCTGGGTTTGGCTGGTGGCCAGCCGGCTAGACCATCGAATCCCCAGCAGCAGCAGCCCCAGCAATCTTCGTTCCAGGGGCAGCAACAGCAGCAACAATATCAATCTCAACAAACGAACAGCATGCAACAGCCACAGCAATTCAATCCTAGGCAGCAGCCGCAGCAAACCCAGCATCGCCAGCAACAGGGAATGCGGCAACCAATGGGTCAGCAAGCCAATCAAGGTATGATGCAGTCCCAAATGTCATATCAGCAGGGAGAACAACATGCATCAGCACAGGGGCAACCACAACGCATCATGCAATCCAAAATGTCTTATCAGCAGGGCCAGGGACTGATGCAGCATCAAGGACAACCACAACTTCGGCAACAAAGCATGATGCAAGGACAGCAACCACAACCCCAGCAGCAACAGCAACCACAACATCATCATCACGCAACGCAGCAGTCTCAACAGCAACAACAAACACAAGCAATGATGCAGCGGTCTCAAATGCAGCAACCTAGAATGCAGCAACCTCATGGAATGATGAACCAAGGAGGACAAATGCAACAGCAGGCCCAACAAGGTGTGAACCAACCCAGACAAAGTATGCAGCAGCAAGCGCATCAACAACAGCAGGGATTGATGCAGCAGCAGCCCGTGCAACCACAGCGACAAGGAATGACGCAACAGCAACCAATGCAGTCTCAACAGGGCATGATGCAACCACAAGTGCAAGGAATGATGCAGCAGCATCCGCCAGCAATGATGCAACAGCAACAAGGAATGATGCAGCAAGCATTCACACAACTGCAACATGAGCAGGTGAATGGCAACCAGGTACAGCAGGCGTCTCAATTTCAAGTCGAAACTGTCGCGGATGACAACGAACTCGTTGATCCTTCCCAACAAATGATGATGCCACAACCAGAACCGCAAGAGGCTCCGCAATATCGCCCCACTGCAGTGGCTGGGTCTGGAATTGATGCTCGCACCAAGCCTGATCCGAAAGTAGAAGCAGAGCAATTGGCTGTTTCATCTGGGGGAGCTCCGGGAGCTGCAAATGGTCGTGTGGCTCTACTTCAGTCAGCCCTTGTCAATGAGCTGCCCAAATTCTTGTTGGAGGGTGTCCTGGAGAACCCAAGCCTGAAGGGCGTGAAGGATCCTGCTGCTACCAAAGTGCACACTGTGGATCTATTGAAGCTACTTACAGAGGATCCTGGCTATGGCATGAAATTCCGACTGATCTTGGACGAAATGCCAGCCTGGACAAACTACAAATCTCAAGATCACTCGTTGTTCATAACAGGTTCCGAGCAAAAGACAGACTACTTCTTGACAGATGGAAGCTCGGGCGAGCCCACTAAAATGCTAACACAAGGATAGAAGCTAAAATATAGACGAAGTTCTGCCGTTCAGCCCTTGGCTTTGGACTCCTATCAATGGGTTGGTCTGGGGAAATCCCTTTCGCCAGCTTCAACGGTGACTTGTTACCTTGAATAGCTTCCAACAAAATGTATCTACGATCACAGGCCGTCATGGCATGAAACCGGCAGCTTGGAATGGGAATAGCCCACCAACGAAAGGACCACGCGTTACTTGACTTCGCGTGAAGTCAAAATCGCTCAGACACCCTTGTGATAACCCCAGTAACGCACAAAGTGATACTTCCTTTGTTCTCTATTTAGAGTTTGCTTAGTTATTAACTACGATGCCCCTCTCAGGCTCACACTGGCCTCATGTTGTGGAACCAAGGCGAAACCCTCTCCACTGCTCATGCAAATCTTCTGTGGTCAACAATTTGTTCTGATGAACAGCTAGACATTGCATACCAAGCTTTCAACTATCATAGGTATTTACAATTGCGCTTTTAGATTATTTACAGTATCAAATCTTGGTTTGGCTCGCTGCTCGGCTGCGCCATGATACAACCTTCTCATATTTACATGAATGCCAGGATCATTGCCACACCAATCTTTGTCATTTGTTCTTGATGCGATTGTTGCATCAATTTAGTTCAACAAGTGCTCAATGATTCCCTTTCCATCCACCAATTCTTGAGCCATGAATCCTGCAGCAGCAAGCATGGCCAATCGTCCATTTTGGAGTTCCTTGTTCTGGAGAACCAAAAGCTCTTCCGGATCCTCTGGCTTCAATCCAAGGGGATCAAATCCAATGTCACCAGGGGTGTAATCTGCACGGAGAAGGCCTGGTTGGTCAACTGGAACATCAGCAGGATCAACCCATCCAATCTCAGCACGCTTTTGTTCAGCAGCTCCAATTCCGGTAACCAACAAGGCCCAGAAAAGAGGTGGGACCTGAGCAAGGTGGGAAATGGCAGGACCGGTAACACTGGCATCCCACAAGAAGGAGGATCCTTCAACAGCTTCTCCAGCCAAGAAACCAATGGCAGCAAGCATGGCAACACGTCCATGTGTAAGCTCAGCCTCACGGTATCGCTTCAAGGTCTTCTCATCAGCCTTGGCCGCAAAACCAAGAGGGTCCCAGATGCCAACAGGCTCCAGAGCTCCAGGAATAGTTTCAACAGTGAAAGCAGGTGCAGCCACAGCGGCAGCCTTCTTGGAAGCAACACCAAAAGGGCTGAAAGCACTGGCAGAAGCAGCGAAAAGAGTGATGGCAGCAGCGAACTTCATTTTGGTTGGTTGGTGGTTTTCAAGGTTTGGTTTTTGCTTGTGGTCAAGTGAATTTTGTGAGCTTTTGTTGTGTGCTCGAAAAAGCGTTCTGGTGGATGCCACCAGCCATCATCCGCATCAGCCCACAGCCACGCAATTGGGATTGAATCAGTTTCGTGGCATCGCGATAGCGTTACTTTCATCATCGGAACGGCTGACGATGCATCGTGGTCAGCTTGTTTTCCTGGAGTGGTCGCGGTCGGCTTGTGAAGCCGTAAGCTTTCGGGTGAGGAAGTCGATTTCAGGCTGTTGGCTGAGTCACAGTTAACCCTAAGATAGGGTTTCTGAACGGCTCATGGAACTGACAGCCTCACGCTTCTTCTTCGCCAGCGAAAGTCGAGAGACTCTGGAGATCTGTGGTTAGGTCCCCATAAAATAGGTATGGCGAATATTCGGTTCCCGGCAAGAAGAAAAAAAAAAGGAGGAAGGAGGGACAGACCTCCTCTGTGACGTTGCAGGTCCCTTTCTCTAAGTACGCCATGTCCAATGTATAAATCTGTTTCTGTTCTTTGGACGCGAATATTTAGTCACAAACTAGTTTATCTGTACTCTATGCGCCTGTCTCGCAGGTGGGAACCAAATATTCTTGAGTCTTGATGAGCCGCCCCAAACTTTAACCCTTAACATCCGGTGCAAAATCTGTCGGAATTGATATCGTGGACGTTACTATTTCACTCGAAAACAACTGACAATGACAGGAGCAACAACAAACGATGCTCCGCTCTCCCAGTTCAACCCATCACAGAGATCCTTTATAAAGAGCTATCGATCTTCCATTGACAATGACCCTCGTGCTTTCTTCAAAGCCAAAGACTGGAAGAATATCACCCCATCTGGAGGTAGACACAGCACTAATCTTTTGCATGTCGCATGTAAAAAGGTGAAAGCATGTTCCTTCTACGTGAAGTCCTCTGCTGTCTGGGTTCCCCATCTACAGTTTGACAAGCATGTGCCCACATGTCCGCATTGTAAGAAGAACAGCTATGTCGATGTCCTGAAAGCCCGGTGGATCAACAACCCCAAAATCTTGTTTGGAGTCTTTCGCCACAAGTATCTTGACACCGTGCTGTACCCTTGCAACTTGTGTGGGCGCCGGTTCGCTGGGTATAATAAGGAGAGCATGAAGCTGGACTCCAGCGTTTATGGTTCCTATTTCAACTACTACCTGGGCCATGGTTATGCGGTGGATGATGAACTGTATAGCCAGATTGTCTTGGAGGCAGGAACTGAGTGTACTGCCACCATCGCAAAAAGGTTGAAGCGTCTAGCCTACACAGCTTACTACAATGATTTCGAGCTTTATCTCACCGCAGTTGGGTCTGGTAAGATTGACACACGCCCACAGAAGAAAGCACGGACTATGGATGACTATTATATTCTTACGCAGACACCTGACGCTCTGAAGAAACTACAATCAGTGAAGAATGTAAAACAGACCAATGCAACTCGAGTACGGCTGAATCTTTCGTCTGCAAGAGGCAAAGCCGATGGTGATGTCCGATTCAAGGACATGTTAGGTGACAAGGCGGACAGAAACAAGTTCGGAAACAAGAATATTCTTTCTGGAATGGGAAGCACCAAGCTTCGGCAGTTGATTGATATGGGTGTTAATTCCATGCAAGAGCTGCTTGCTGTGGATCCGGACGATCATCCACGACGCCTGGGAAACAAGATAAAGCAATGGCAACTGAAAGTTAGGAATTACTATGAGAATCACAAGGTGCGAGTGGAACAGCTGGAGTCTGAATTGATTTTGGCCGAACTGGAGGAGCAACAGGCTATTGATTCCATTGCAGACTACGTGGAAGAGCATGGTCTACCGGATCAAACTGTGGACACAGGTGATGGTGGTGGAGGGCAGGAGGAGAATCGTCCACCTCTGTTCTCCAAGTTCTCTGAAAAAAAGGGGTACAATGGCCGCGTTATTTCAAAGCACATGATAGATTGTCTGGTGACTGTTGTGTTTGAACACCGAAAGGAATACCAAGAGAGCAAGATGAAGGGCCTGACAGCTGAAATCCTGAAGATCGACTTCAATTACAAGCTTGCTTCCAAGATCCGGGTATGGACTGGTCCTGGGAAGAGCTTTTGTCCATTCAGATGCATCATTACCATCCAAAATGAGGATGCACTCACTGTGTTTTGGAAGGCTTTGAAGCATACTGAGTCCTTCAGCGAAATCGAAGATGACCTCATCCGTCTGAATGAAAGATTGAAGCGCAACAAGCAAGCCAAGGAGTTGACCAGGCGAAAGGAGGCAGCTCGCGACTTGGTGGCTGAAGGTACAGATTTGCCGGCAGTGCAGGAGCCAGATCTTGTGGACGCTGTCAAGGTACTGTACGTGGACAACTGTTGCCAAGTGTATGTTACACTTAAGCGCATCTTTGGCCCTGAGGTAATGATTCTCCTCGATCCCTTTCACTGGATGAAGAGATGGAATCCTTGTTTAAGAGATCCAAGCAGTGCAATGGGAGGGGTATTTCGTGGCCTTTTGAGCAGAGCTCTGTTTTGTGTGGAGCCGTCGGAATATGAGCGAGCAAAGAACCTGCTTCAAGCCAAGAAGAACAGAGAGCCAACCCACAAGGAGATCATGAGAGAGGCCAATGCGGTGATACCACCACCAGCACAACTTCGGAAGAATGTGGAAGCAGTGCTGGAGTATCTTCGTGCCAAGGATGCTCAAACTGAAATGATACTGTCGACATCGGCTGCGGAGAATGACAACAACAACACTGCTGCGCCTAAGTTGTATTTGAAGAACGACAGCGCCACAAGAGATAAGATCAAGCAACTCTTCACCTATATTGATAAAGGTTGCCTCTCTGATCCTGATTCTTCGATTGTAAACATCTTCAGACACAATCCAGTGACCGGCATGACTTATCTCGCAAGGGGCACCAACACCAATGAGAGAGACAACCTGGACTTAGCCTATCGAATTTTAGTAGCCACTCATGTCGGTAAGTTTCAAGCAATGCTGGTTGACATTCTGTTTCGGCATCTCACAATTTCATTCTGTTCCTTAAATATTTGAGCAGGTATCCATCGTGCTGACCGCTTGATGACTGGTTTCTTTGAAGAACGCAATCAAATGAAGTCAGTTACGCGACTGGGTGAGGAGGACTATGGCATTGTGGAAACTGAAAGGCTCTTACTCCTTAACTCAATTGCGCGAAAGGTTGGATATAAGGAATCTGAGATTCCTTTCAAGCGCATTTCGGCACCAACAGTTGACACGTCGGCTTCCAAGGAATTCATGGGATTCGGTTACAAGGTGGTGGAGCAACCGGATTTAGATGCAGAGCAAGACGTTGGCAATGAAGAAGAGGACGATGTTCCAGTGACAGTAGACGGCCTGTCCCAGCAGCCCAATGAGGCAACTGAAGAAGACGTTGCCCGGCAACTACAAGATCTTGATGAGTCTGAGCAGATCCACGAAAACGATGCATTAAATCGCAGGTTGATCCAAGAGGAACTGGCAAAGCTTCTCCCTGAGAGTAATGGTCGCTTGAGCACGATGGAAGCCTTCACGAATCTCTCTAACAAGCAACCGTGGATTCCTTTTAGGTCACCAGATTCGACAACAGCTGCTTCTCCATTGGATCGCGAAGAGGAACGATTATTTAATGTCGAACGCGTCAACTACAACCTACAAGGTAGGGGGAAGCCTAATTACACTGCATTCGCAAGAAACTGGAACAATGAGGTGGCAAGACGATTTAGAGAATGGAGCAAGGGAGATGACTCCATTATACAAATCAACAGGAAGAGTCGCCAACAGTTGGAGGACTTCCTGAAAAAAACTCGAGAACACAGCGATCTACAAGCAGCAGCATCCACCGCAAACGATCCGAATCGGATACAACTCAATGCCACTCTCCGGCAAACTCGGCAATCACTACAAGCACCGCCCCTTCCACACATCACCAATCCTCCAGTTTACACCCAACACAACAATGGACGCACTCCCATAGGAAATCCCAACTCCCAAAATACAGATATCTTGCTTGGTCGCCTGTCTGGAGTGCAAGAGAGAGTGATGCAACAGCTAAGGAATGTGGCGCCTTATGGAATTGCAGAGCCAACAGCACCACCAACAGCGCCACCTCTGAGGCCACCAAGAAGAGTTTTCAGGAGCAGGCGTTTTTTGTATCACTTGTGGCCACAAGAGAAGAGATCACCATGATGATGAGGGTGTGGCCAATACATGCACAAGGAACTATTGTGGCAACTGTTGGCAGCTCAAGGATTATCATGGCCCTGGTGATGGCTTTGGTCCAACATGCAGTAAGCCAACCCACAAGAACAGCACTGAAAGGGACAATTGGTTTGACATAAAGGTATGTTTTTATTGATGTTACTGTTGACAGCTACTTGGATAACAAACAACAACAAGTCTTACAGCTGTTGCTTTCTTTCTTTTAAACTCTCTCTGAACAGACATGAATCAGTCTTGGTGCATTGGGTAAGAGTAGCCACCATGATGGGCAGTGAATGCAGCTCTGTGGGAAATGTACTGCTCACTACTGATTGTCATACCACTTAGGTTGTGTTTGTGCTTGCTCCAGCACTCTGTGTCAAACCAATGACTCCACTCTGTGAGTAACAACTCCTTTGCCTCACTGTGCCACACACCAAACTGAGTATAGAGAACTCCTCTCATAAGTGGTCTGATTGCTTCTTTGCACATCTCTTTCCTTGTGACAGGTTCATGTTCATACACTTCCCATGCCAGCTCAGCAAGAACATCACTGTACCAATCATTGCTGTGCCTGACACCCCACACAAACATCTCATCCAGCAACCAAGTCTGATCAGGAGTCATTGGCAGCGCATTCCCTTCCATGATGAGTTGCTCAAGGATCCCACTGGACAGGTATCTGGTCTTTACAAGCAAGTACTGAGTTTTGGGATCTTCCCTGTCTGTTTGATCCTCAAGCAAAACATGCTTGCATACATAAGTCTGCCTGGTTTTCCTCATCTCATTGTAAGGGTAGCGATCATTAACATCTAGCCACTGTTTGAATGCATGACTAGCAGTAAACAACATGATGATGTAGCAGCTTAGCTGTAGTTGACTGTGTAGGAATCCAATCCAATGACTCGACGACTCCACGGAAAGGTACGTATCTTCGAAATTGAAATTGTGAGTAAGAGGAAATGAGGGCTCCAACGGTACGGCGCACCTCTACGAATAACTCTTTGATGCTTCCACAAGACTCAATCTGTTTAAGTGACATTTTTTGAATTCGGCACTGTCTACGTTACTGTACACTTTGGCGAATCTTGTGTGCAAATATTGTACTGAAGTTAGGCTGTAACCGCCGTTCGCCCATACCATAAAATAGCACACTTCGGAAGCCAGCTATTAACAGAACTCTTGCTGCAACCCAAGTTGGGACAACGACAGTACGCGTACCAAGCTTATTACCGTACGAAGCCAAAACAAACCATGTCGGACGAAGACACGCTGCAGTCTCGACTCGAAAACGCTCGAAGAGGCGAATTGAGCTCTGGCGCTTTGTTTCCGCTCATGCGCGAACTGTTTCTTGCGAACAGAGAAGAAGATGGAAACGAAGTGCTGAAGATTTTACAAAAGGAGAGAGATGGGCTGGCTAAGGAAAAGTATGAAAACGCACCCGCTGTGGCTAGCTCCATTGAGAACATCTATCAAGGAGGAAGGACCCTACCACCACTGAAACTGAACAGTAATGTTGCGCCGAGCATCAAAGGACATTACTTGAAAGGCATGGAGCCCCAGAAAGCAATCTACAAGAAAGAAGCATCGACCAGCGCTGAAATTTGGAAACAGTTGGACCAAGTGGTAATTCCCATTAGAACCAAAGTGGAAGGCAACGATGATCAAGATCCTGTTCGCATTTTCAGCGAGTTCAAGCCAAATCTCTACCCTTTGAATTATGAAAACGAAATCAAAATTCAGACCTATGTGGAACGGCTGGTGATGGATGCCATTGCGTGCATGGGCTGCACCAACAAGCTCCAGACCAATCTGGAGATTTCATTCTACGGCGTCACTCCTGACATTATCGTTGTCTTCCATCGACGAAAGATCATTTTTGTCATTGAGGTGAAATCTCCAAGCGTCGAGGTGCGGTCCCGGAAGCGACAGGCGAAACCCCGGAAGAACAAGGCGAAACCAGGTGATGATGATGGTGGTAGTGATGTTTTCGAGGGTCAGTGGGTGGCTGGGCAAATATGGTTGTATTTGATGGCCATGAAACAATCTGGAGTGGAAAGGCCTTTGGGTGCCATTTGCACCTTCAACAAGATTCGACTTGTGTCTTTGAAACCGATGGACCATCATCGTTTCGAAGAAGCCTTGGGCATGCTGAAAGAAACTGTGGCAACACCTTGGAAACCAGAACAGCAACCGACGAAAGACGAGCAGCAGCACAGCCTCGACCCAGAGAGGAAAAGGGCATCCGAGAAAAGCTTAAGGTTTGACAAAAAACAACCTGCCACATCGTTTGAGCCCGATGCCAAGGATGGAGTGAAAATCTTCAAGGCGTTCTTGTATGGTAGCGTCACGGCAGAGGAGGGCAACGTCTTTCGGATGTTGTTACTTGGCTTAATGACTGCGAAAATCGAGGCAGGCATCGGTGCGACAGCCAACACAGTAACCGAGGCAAAGGAAAATGAAGACTTAAGTTGCCGACTGTTCGCTTACGCTACGGAGCAGGGTCTGCGGTTTGCGATGACAGACGATAAGCTCAAGGTGAAAAATGAGTTTCCCCATCCGAACACCAAGAATTTTTTCTTGCTGGACACAATTGGCTCCGGAGGAACTGGAGACGTCTCATTGGCTGTTTCCTTGAACGGGGCCCGTGCGGCAGTCAAGTTTTACCGATTCAAGCCATCGAGAGCGGCAACCCCAGATGAACGAGCAAAGGACGATGAGAAATTGATTGCGAAGTGCAAGGAGAACCGTAACGAGGAGTTGAGTAGGTGGAAGAATCTGTACGGGAAGGGTTGTAAGGATTCCATTGGGAGAGCGATGCAGACGGGGCGTGCGATTATGCTGAGAGGTCTCCCAAGTTTGCTGATGCCATACGGAACTCGGATTCCAATGAACAAGCGAGCAGCCTGTCTCGGCGCCATCGAAGAGCAGTTGAAGCGTTTCCTCAAGGCTGGATATGTCTACAAAGAGAGCGATTTGCGCTGGCGCCATATCTTGTTCCTTGGTGATGGGAATGACGAGAAAGTCTTTCTTGCAGACCTAGGCTCCCTTCAAACGGTACCCCCTAGCGACCGTTCTGACAATTCAAAAGTTGAAGAACAGATGAATTATTTGAAAACCCATATGGTTATGGAGGTTGACGGTGGCGAGGACGACGGTGGCGACGCCAAAACAGAAAGTGGGAAGAAGCGACCCCAGCAGCCTACAGGCGGTTCACCGGCGTCCAAGAAGGCGAAGGTCTAGTGGCTCGAGATTCCATGCTGCTGGGTGGGGTAAGGCAAACCCCTTGCCCGAACAAACCAATTGGCGGGAAAGGGACTTGCTAGTTGCATGCTTCCGTGCTCGTTGCTGTTTTTTCTTTCTGTGGCAGAGCCATAAGAATAAGTGGTATCCATTTCAATTGACTTGTAGCCCTTTGTCTCCTCCTCCTCCCCACCCGGGCTAGCTAGCTAGACACCCGTGCGAGGGATCCCATGGTGGGGCGTCCTTTGGGTGTCCTTTGGAGTGTGAGCTTCGAGTTGTGAGCTTCGTTCCAAAACCTTCCAAAACCGACGAGCTCCCCGATGACCGCAGCCTCTCCGACCCCCAAGGAAGACACCCGCGAACTTGACTTGCTATCATATATATATTTTCTGGGCTTGACTTGCTATCATATATATATATTTATTGGTGCTAGTTACGTTAAACCTCAAAAGAGCCCCTCGCGAAGGACTTTTCCGCGGTGATGTTTTCGGAAATGCATTGATGGACTTACCCACGGAAGGACGGAGAACCGGAAGAGAGGAGACGGGGCAAAACTATCAGACCAAGGACGCCTTCGACGCCAACGCGGCTTGGGGGGCCAATGTTGCTTTGGTTTCGGCGCGGAACAAGTCAGGCTCGTGTCCGCTGGACTTCATGTGACGATAGATTTGGAGAGCCGAGCAGCAGGCGCAGAACTTGGTTGCCAAGAAATCCAAGCAAAGGTTTCCTGGGATGCCGTATTTGCGGCGGGCAAAGTATCGCACCGCAACGAACACGAAGATCGTGTACCACACTAGGGCCACAAAGGTCAACGAGAGGACAGGATCTGCGGGCTGTGGTGCTTGGGTGCGGGTGGCGTACGGGGACGTATAGGCCGCATCAAAGGCTTGTTGGTTCGTCGCGATGTAGAGAACAGTGTTGACGATACCCAGCGCACACATGAAATAAAAGACCGCGTGGCGGGGGATCCCCGAGTCGCGCCGACAGAAGCAATCCATCCGGAGGGAATCCATGAGGAGCGCAAAAGCGCAAGGAGTGAAACACCAAGCCAGGCAACTAAACTCTCCCTCCATGGGATGACAACACTCGAAGAGACCGTCACGCCATCCTCCGGTGATGGCAGTCTGCCCCGGACGGCCGTGAGCCGTGAAGGTCTGGCCTTCTTCCACCCCACCTTTGGGGACTTTGACGAGGTACTTGCTTCCTTCGCACTCGACGTAGAGACTGAAGCCAGCCCCCATGGTCGCGGGGGCCACGATTTGAAGCAGGACCGCGTTGTCCTCTTGCTTCCCTTTCGTCGTCGAGACGGCGGCGGCCACAGGCAGGTCTTCACCTTCAACGAAGTGCGACGGGGCAATGTATCCTTCGGCAAACTCGTCTTCGAACGCGGCTTCTTTGCTGGTGCCAGCGAACATCGCTTTCTTGGCTGATGGATCATCCAACTCCATGTTCATCGTGATGGCAGACTTGGACATGATACAACGATATGCTGGACGGTACGAGTATGTGGCAGCCTATTGAAAGTGCTTGGATTGTTCTTTTTATGATGGGAAAGATTTGGAGATGAAAGATCCAACGCGATACCCTGGTCCAGTCGTCGCTGCAAAGCAGGGTATCCAGGTCCAAGTCTCAAACCTACTGCGTCCGGGTATTTTGATTTTTTGACAGTATCTTCTTAGATTTTTCGTTTTTGTGGATCATTCCTCTTGAATAGTTGAATTTAAACTTTCGTTATAATCTGAAACCAAGCCGTCAGGACGCACTTCACCAGTCCCGAAGATATACCGGTATCCAGTCGTGGACGTGAGGACGGTTCGGGATGCAGCGTACTTACTCACGTCATCGTCCAAGTCTGCCAATTTTGGTGAAAAAGTCGGCCAGAACGTGCCACCAGATCAGATCAGTTGGCTAGCTCTGGAGGTGTAGCAACCCAGAAGGTGCCTGGTTCTTGGCACCTTCATAACCCGTGGGCCAATACAGAGATCTTGGGCGCCTTTTGGGTCCATCAAACTCTGAGGGTAGACTGCAGTTTCAAGGATTTATCACAGGGAAAACCGCTGTATTTTGCTAATATTTGCCACCGAGGACCGCCCCCTCCCTTGCTTGCTTGGCAGTTTCTTTTGGCACCTATAAAAGTGCCCTCTAAGTTTGCCTGGTCATGGACGAAAACAGTAGCTGTGGTTCTGTTTCTAGCTACAAGGTACCAGGTAGTATGGTGCAGCCAAAAGCGGATGTAAGAATGATAAACCCAATCCTTTCTTACTTGCTAGAAGCGTTATTTGGATGCTTGCACACCTTCTGCTTCCTTTTCTTGTTGTTGTGCCTTGGCTGTTTCCATGGCCTGCTCGGTAATCGACTGTAGCTGATACGGCTTGCTTTCGTAGAGGGTACCATCTTCCAGAAAGTCCCCGTCTTTTGGCACATAGAGCGCGTAGATTGTGATTTCTTGCGTCACACCCGGAACCACTTGAATCTGCAGTGGCAAATGCGTCGGAGGAGGAGTTTCTTCCTCTTTTTTGTTTTTGTTGTTGTCATCGTCACCACTGCTGTTACGGGCATCTCCAATGAGATTTCCGTGTTGGTCCAGCGCAAAGGTCATCATGAGTGGTGCCGTCTTTTGTTTTGTCTTTTTCTTTTTAGTCTTTTTCTTTTTCTTTCCAGCCGTCTTTCCCGCCAGTGCTTGTTCCATGGGAACTTGCGCCGTGACCGTAATCAAAAACGGTTCTCCTTCCTCGTTCATCATGAGGTATTGTGGATTGTCATTGTCGTCACTCTTCTTTTCCCAAGTGGCTCGCAATGCATCGGCTGGACTTTTGAATCCCGTCTTTTTCAACTCAAATCGAGTGGGCACGGATCCTCCCAGATTAACAAGTGTAGTGACAAAGGTTTCCCACTGAGTAAAATCCAACGTGACTGCATTATTATTGTTGTCGGGAGCAAAGCAGAGGCGTCTGTGGGGTGCATCCTCAACGTACGTCTTGAGCAATGGTTCCGTGACGGTTTTTTGGGTCTGATCATTTCCCAAAATGAGGTAGGAGTTGACGTGTTTGCTGGAACATTGATAAAAGGGCATGGCGTATTTCATGCACGCCGTGGGATCTTCTTTGGGTGGTTCTTCTTCTTCACTACTACTACTATTTTCTGTAGTAGCAGTATCATCCTTTTTGGGCGGACTCTTGTCCTTGACACACAATTCGAATCTCTTCCAATCGAGTCGACAGGGTCCTTGTCGAAAAGTTAAACACATGGAACAATCGGTGGGTTCATCGTCGTCGGGGATGGAGTAGTAGGGATCGTCGGGTCCAATCTCCAGGTTGTCCGGGTCCAGCAATGCTTCTTCCTCTTTGGATGGTGCTGTTTCTTCTTCTTGACAAGCAGCTCTTGTTGTGGATCCCACCATCAGCACAGCAGCAGTGGTGGCAGCAGCAGTGAGCCATAACCAAGGATGCAATCGTGCATCTTGACTACTTGTGGGAATAACGACGGCAGCAGAGGCAAGGAACCGATGTTGGGGTATCCTACTGGTAGTGGCCAATAGGCTGGTCCTTTGTAAGGAGGGTAGCAGCCTTTGGGCTACCCGTCTGGTCAACAGTCGACAACTAGCCGAGTTCATCGTGATCCAATATATAATGGTTGCTTTGGAAGTACTGAGGTGGTGTTGAACCACAAGCAATGCGACGACGTCGATCGGTTGTGCTCGTGGTCAAATAGTTCGTGGTTGGTTTTTGTGGTTGAGAAAGCTAAAATAAAGATCCTGAAGATCCTTTGCTGACTCATCAGTCACGAGCAGCAAAAATGAATGAAATAAAATAATTTTGCCATTTCAGACACCCAACTCAGACCTTTGTCATCATCCAACGGCACGATGCTGACACACAATGAATAAATGAATAAGAATGTCAACCCCTCCTCTTCCTCCTACATGTACAACACTACTCTCTGAGGCCCACACTGCTGCCCGTCAGCAAGCCAAGCAATGGATCCGATCCGTCTTTCAAGAAGTCCATGGTGCCCTGTGGCGTGATCAATGGAAGGTAGAGGACATTAGTTGTGACAACAACAATGATGATTCTAAGACAACACGAATCCACATTACCGAGGACATGATGGTGGCGTCGCAACGCATCTGTCGTCGTGTGGCGCTACAATGGTGTCAACGAGTGGAAGCACAAGGACATTTCGAGTTTGCCAAGTGGATTCGAGATGTCTTGGAAAAAGAACAAGACACGTTCTTTGTTGCTGACAATGACAATGATGAGGATGATGAGCAGAACGTGGAAGAACAAGAAACACAGACAGTAATGGATCAAGAGGAGGAATCTACTTTGAAAGAAGCACCACCATCACCATCAGTAGCTGAACAGCAGCAGGACGAACAACAAGAAGGCGAAACAAATGTTCCAGTGCAACCTCAACACGATCCATCCTTTCCCCTCTTTCTCAACCCACTGGGAGCCCTCAATAAGCTGCAATTGCCACAACTAGGAGACGAACAACAAGTCATTGATGAGATTGATGCCATGGGAATCGCCGACAAGACCTATTGGCCATTTGACTGGGATATGATTCAAGAGTCTGCTCAAAACATACCAACACTCATGTACAAACACAATCCCAACAACAAACTCAACTTGAAACTGGTGCCCAAAAATACTACTACTGACACAAGTACTAATACAGCAGACACTACTACTACTGATACCAATGAAAACGAACCCGACAATCCCACCATGCCACCACCTCAACCAGGAGCCACTGCCGTATCTTCCACAGAACAAACCATCATTGCACAACAACGCAAGGGATACCACTTTGTGGCATTTCAACGAAAGCGCGCTGCGGCGCAAGCCAAGGCATCCGATGCCCATAACAGCAACAAACGACCCAAACTCACTACTCTGTTGCCGGATGATGAACCCCGTCTACCCACGTTATTCGAACAAGTCGATATTCCATGGAATGAACAAGTTGCGCAACAGATGAAGGATACGTATCCGGAATTGGACCATCTCGTGCACTCGCCTACAACAGACGACAACGCTGCGACGCTCCTGTTGGGAGCCCTCAAACCCCTAGGGCATGTGCACAATGCCATTCAAGTCAACGTCGAGAGTCCCGATTGGGAACATTTTTCCGAACGCAAACAACGACGCAAATTCATTGTGGCCGTACGGGAACGACTGGGACAAAATCAATTTGAAAAAGTACCCAAACCACACCGGGTACAATCCAAAATTCGACGGACCATTCAGTTATTGGAGCAGCAGCATACGGACAATGACAACAGTAAAACGCGGGATTGTGTGGATTTTGACATGGGAGAATGCCTGCTGGATTTGCAGCAACACGACGACGGTGACCGTCGAGCGTTGTACGCCTTTTCCAGTTTGGAAGTGTGCCTGCTCGATGAAGATGCAGAGCATGCACACAACAACCAACGGGGGGAATGAATGAGGTGACAATATCAAATGCTGCAAAAGGCTATACTACCATAGTAGTGGTAAGAATGCAGGGTGAATGGTTTAGCTCGAAAGTTTTCATAAACCTGTTGCATGTTGCAGATGTGAGCGCTTGCTCTACGTGTTCTAGCTATCTACATGTAGTTCTGCTCTTCACTTATTCTTGCAACCACTATGCTTACTCTTTTGCTCAAACGACCTACACGAACTAGATCAAGTACCCAGGTTGAAGTTTAAGACCTCAAACCGACCGCTCGGCCAACTTTGCAGGCAGGACTCACTCTCTGGGGTTTGAACTTTTGCTTCGTGGCTCTCTCTCTACTGAACGATATCATTCTGGAACCGATACTTGCGCTTTGTTGTTCCACTTTCGCACCCTTAGAAGATTCTTGTTTACCAGCATAGCTACACATTATTTCATTGTTATAGTACCGGATGTGGCCACCAAAGGAGACTCAATGGCTCCCAAGGGGCCCAAGACAGGGTACACCCTTACGTTTCAAGCACAAAGTCATCACCTTTCTTATCAAAGAACTGACGCAATGTTTCTAACCGTCCCCCCTTGTTACTTGCGCAGCTCAGCCCGGCGAGACGAAGCCACCCTCTGGCATCCATATATGAAAGGCCGTCAATATCCTGCTTTCTCAATTTCCTCGAAAATGGTATCATTATTGGCTGTTCACGTGGTGGCAGCTGTTCTGGTAATGCTGCTGCTGCTGCCACTAATGCGGCTCTTGGCAGTGGTGGTTTTGCCTTGGCTGCTGTTGTTGGTGGCTGCACCTGCATTCGAGCCGCAATTTCGTTCTGATCTCTCTGTCTCAACATCCTTCTTGCATTGGGCACTCGTATCAATCCACCAAGACCAACCGCATTGGATTGCATGAGCTGTGTATGTTTGAAATTCCAAGCCCGTGCAATTTGTACAGCCAATTCATCATCATCTTGAGGGGATCTATACCCAAATACTTGCCTTGCAGTGCAGTCGAGTTTCCAAAAGTGTTCCTGCTGAAATGGTGACAGAGGTCTCCTATCACTAAGAAATGTGCTGCTAATGCTCGCCTTGATGCCTTCCATGGCCAGAAAATGACTCCAGGTAACTTTGGCACAGTCAAAGTCAAGTTGATTGTCAGGTGAGATGTTGTCTGTTGCTGCAGCAGTGGCTGCATTTGCAGCGGTTGTCTGCATAGGAACTCCAGTAGTGGCTGTTCTTGTTCTTGGAGCCAATGGAGAGGGGGCAGGAACTACTCCAGGGGATGCTGCAGTAGGCATTGCTGCTGCAGCAGGCACACCAGTCGTTGCTGTCGCAGCCTGGGCGTCAGATGTTCCTGTTGTTTGATTCGCCTCAACATCGACTTGCGTGTCCGGTTGCAACCATGGCTGTTCATCTGGTTCCAGCTCCATTTCTGGCGGTTGTTGGCCGTTTAGTGGTGGTAGCGGTGGGGATTGTTGGCCGTTTAGTGGTGGTAGCGGTGGTGGTGGCAGCGCCACTTGTGATGCCACAAAACGGAGCTTGCCTTCTCCCATTGGCTTGAAGAGATTGCAATAATTGTTTTCATTGAAATCAGGCCAGGATAGCCCTCTTGGCTGGTCAGTTGTTGACTTTTCCTTGCTGACGAATCGAAGGTAGGATGCAATGGCTTTGGTTTTCAGCTTTTCAAAGGATTTTTCCATGTCTTTCGCCATATCCGCCACTACTGCTCCGTCCTTCAGCAGTTCCTCACAAAGCTCTTCAGTTACATACATCTGCATGTGAGTGATATCAGCGTAGATATATTCTCTGTATCTATCCTTGAGCTCTTCTGGATAGATGGACCAAGTCGAATGCTCAGTGAGACTGAAATAATGGATACCTTCTTTGTCGGCATTGCTGGGCTTTCGGCCCTTGCCCTTTTTTGGATTTCCACCACATTCCGGATTGCTGCAGACATATCTGGCTCCAACAATGGGAATTCTGGATCGGGATCCCCAAACGGTCCTTGTCGTTTTCTTATTGAGACCAGTCTTTTCCACATAAACGACAAATTTGTTTGTTTTGCACCAAGGACAAGGAGTCAAGACACCAATCCTCCCACTACTGGAGTCTTGACGGCGGTATTCTGGGAATTTCAGAAGAATATCGCGGTGAAATACGTCGGGCCAACAAATGAGGATTTGTGTGTCCACAGGTACCTCAAACTCACTAGCTGCCTTTTTCATCGAGACTTGATCCCATTGTGGATCGATTCCCTGGAATTTACTAGTATGCAAGTGTTGTCTGGCTCGTATTTCAGGTGTTGTCACGTGATGAATGAATCCATGAGGAAAGAATTTCGCAAAGTAGTCATCCAGTTCTGCTCCATCAGGAACGATTTGACGATTCTTTCGTGCAGCTCTGCCACAGGAACCGGGCTTTGAATTCCTGAATACCTGACCAGTTTCATCCACACAGGGAAACCAGTCGCTCCGGTACATTCTTCGAAGGTACCGGTCAATTCCAGAAAGAGACCCATCTTTATCGGGTGGCTCCATTTAAATGCGATTTGATCCGACAAAGCGTTCTTCTGGCCTTTCTCCTGGGAGGTTCCTGGGAGGACATGCGTATAGTAGCTAGTGCGTAGTATGCTCAACAACACTCCATTGAGGTCTCGAGAGTGCGTTGATATTGTTTTGCGGTTTGCGATGGTGACTTTTTGGGTTGGTGGTGGAAGATACCGCACCGGTTGGCCTCGGACGACGGGAACAGGCAGCTCTGCTGTTTAACCAGCAGTGGGTGCCACGGCTATCACGGTTAAAATTCAACGTATCGGATGCAACGACGAGTGGGATATTCATCAAGTAGCTAGCAATACTAGTACTACCTTAGCTATTTTTTAATACTCTTTGATTTGATTATCTATTAGTCATGTAGACGCTGATGCTAGCTAAAAAGGGACTTCTGAGCAGGCAGTGGCTCCGTCTCTCCAAAGAGATGTGTGCCTCTGCAAAGCTAACATTCCAGTCTTCATTTTCTCCCCACTTTGGCGGTTGCATTATTTCCTCATCATTACATGAGTTTCTTTTTCTTGAAATACCTCTTCAAATAGGTGACTTGTACATAGGTAACACCCAGCAAGATGACCCCGGAAACCATGGAAAAGTACTGCACTCGTTGATTGATGCTATCGGCAGTGTGACGCATTCGTTCCTCCCTATCCGTCATGTACTTCATTTCTCGCAACACAGTATTGGCCGCTTTGATGCTCTTTTCCAGCGATTCCTCCAATGGACTGAGGTGTTTTTCCTTGACGAAATTGGGTTCGTTCGAGTCTTGCTCCTCGGGATCGCCATTGAGCATGACAATATCCATCACCACTTGGACAGATTCGTCCTCATTTTCCTTGTTGTCAAAACAAATGCTGTATCCACTAAGGTCTTCATCATCATCCGCACTGACTGGCAGAACCTTTTTGTGGGCTTCTCGAACCTTGTTAATGACACTTGGACTGAAGAACTTGATCGGCAAAACTCGCGAGGAAGGATCCGCCGCCGAGTCCAATGAGACGACAACTTTGAGTTTGGCGGTAACACCATCGGTGCGTCCTTGCAGGAATTTGTTAATGACATCTTTCAAGTCAGAGGGTGGATTTGCTGGTAACTGGGTCGGCAAATTCCCTCCGGCACTTCGTTGGTTGGACATTTCGATGATTTGTTCGACCACCCAGTTTTCCATATGGGCGCCACCATCTTTGCTATTTTCGGATACTTCTTCCCCAAGAGGCAGGGCCAAAAATACCAAATGAGCATCATCGTCTTCCGGAATGTTGAATTTAAAGCATCTTTCTTGCTGCTCGGATACCTGCAAAATCAATGGGTAGCCCCAGCTGCCTTGCCAACAACAGGCCAATGATAGCAAGAGCTGTAGCAATAGTGCTGATGATCGGTGTAAGGGATTCATGGCTTGCTAGTTAGTATTCCCTAGTAGTGGACGAAAGAGGTGGGCCGAGTAGTAATTCAAGAGAAGAGGTCGGAGGCGACAGGTGCGGCCATGGTCGGCTGTTGCATGTGTGGCGTAAGGAATAAGATCCAAGCTTTTAACTCCAGTACGGGTAGGGCTAAGTTGCTCGAATAGAGAGAATTCGATTCCACTCGAATTCAATCCAAATCGATTCGATTCAATTCGGCAACAATCTCCTCCACGCTCTGCTCCTGCGCTCCGATCACAACATTTTTTCTTCGTTCCCCCCCCAGCTACCGGTAGCTAGACAAAGCACATGTACATCAGGTAGTAGCTGCTTGTGCTGGCTGCAGCATCAGCAGCTGCTGCTGCTGCTCAGGAGCGTTTTCAACTACTGCTATCGTCTTACCATGTCAAGGAGGTTGCAGCAGGCAACCCAGTCGAACCTCTGGAAAGCGTGCCGGTACTACCGGTAGCTAGGACCAGACTACATTGCGAAGAAGTGGACACCAAGGAAAGAGAATGAAGCAGTGGATCGGGTGCGTGTTGCTGGGCTGAATTTGGCTAACAGGGGCGCAAGCGCTGGCTACATAAGGACAACACGACGACCTCACCAAAATTGTCATTGCACATGAGACCAGCACCAGGCATGTTTCGAATTGACCGTTGGTTGGGGGCTGACAGAAGTGCGCGAAGACAAATCGGTGCACCACACTCCTCATTCATTCCATTCGCCAAATTGTTTGTTCCAAAACATCAATCAATGTTCTGAAGTCTGACCCCCAAAACGCCTTGGAGCAAATCTACCCTCCCGATGTAACATCCTTTCCCGTGCGCGGCGGTGTCCCCTCCTGCGATTGCAGTACATTCGAATGTCCAACACCCAATTCTGTCCCCGATCCTCCCTGCGGACTTGTAGCATCCGTTTGTCCGCTGGGATAAGTGCCAGCGCTGCAAATTGCTTCGTTTGGGGGTTGCATGAGCTTTGCATCAAATCTCGAATTTGCAGTCTAGCGTACTGCATGGCCAAGAACAACCACCAAAATAGCTTGCATTCTATTAGTAGCTTAGAATTAGTCGCATTCCCCATGATAGTACTGCAGGAACACTCCTTAGCTCAAGGGATTCCCTCATCATAACCACCACCCTGACGGTTGCACGAGGGTTTCATACCGTACATAGATTGATTCCAACACCAAAACCACATACTCTCACCACCACATTACACGTAACCTGTTTGGTTTTCAAACAGCCTTCATCAAACTTCTCAGTCCGTTTGCCGCCACAACTGTCAGGCTGCAATGATGCATATCGTTTGCATCACCAGCCTTCTTCTCTTCCATGCCACTGGCACTCTCGTCCATGCTGCTTGCACTGCTGCGACGACGGTTCGCGCTCTTCTGCAGAGCGTACTTTTCCTTTTGTCGGTCGCGGCAACGCAAGCACTTGGTGGCAAGAGACTTGTCGCCGAAGTGACACCAAGGACGGAAATTCTTGCATCCCTTGCACCACTTGATCTCCATCGCATCCAGCTCCAACGCGACCCAGACGGTCACGTCACAGGCGGTGCAAACACCCTTGTTTTGGCGTGGAATGATATGATTCGAGCCAGAAGCATCCGCCGACGAAGGATCCTCGGGGAGGCTAGAAGCACTCTCGGCACTGGCTTTTTTGGCACGAACATAGGTAGCTGAGACGCGCAATTGGCCGCACATGACACAACGTTTCTTGCCGTTAGCACAACCACCTTCCCCGTCACCGCCCCCAGAGTTGCGGCCCTTGATCAAGAGATCTGGAAAGTTCACGAGACGGTGGAAGTCAGGAAGGATCACTTCTTTGTTGATTTCGGCGTCACTGAAGAGAACGTGGCAAGAGAGACAATCGTATAAGAACTACTGTTGACTCGGTGAATGCGGTTGGAATGCGTGCAATGAACTTACCTCCAGTATTTGGATGGCACTGGCGGATTCAATGGAATGCAGCGCCTTCCGTTTCCAGCAGCGTCAGCCGCTGGTTCCATCACTGAAGCCGATGGAGACTTTCTGGCCTGACTTGTGGCGACCGTGGGGCTGGGCGCAGAAGCCGCTTTTTGCTCAAAAACATGCTTTGGTCTCTGCTGTTCTGGAGAAAAGGAGGAAGGTGATGGAGACGGGGACTCAATCCTTGCCCTGGCATAAAATGGAGGAATGACAGCAAAAGCTGGTCTTCCTCGGGCAGACATGCTTCGAGGATGATACATCGATGGGACGTGGACAGGCGAAGGCATACCTGCGGGGAAAGGTCTCATGCCATGTGGGTGTGGGTATGCCACGTATGAACCGTGAAGACCAGGTCGCAATGGAGGCATTGGAGGACGCATATGACCCATTCGAAAGGGACCTCCAGGGGATGGATAAGGACGATGGGGCGAGCCAGCCATGACTCGGCTATGATCAGGAGAGAGACTTCCTTCCACACTGTAGGACATTTCATCGTCATATTCAGCCTTGGGGTACTCATTCGACGACGCTGGGGAAATGATTCTTTGCTTTTTCGGTGATCCATCATCTGAAAACGAAAACGCAGTCTTCTCCACTGCAGCAGCCGATTCAATGGCCGCCTTGGCCTCGTCAGTAGTCGATTCTTCTTGTGATCGTTGGCTGGCTTCGCTGATGGCTGCAGCAGACTCTGCGAGGGCTTCGAGTGAACTTTTTGGTCTTGCATCTTGCTCAACAGACTCGTCGCAATTTTCAGGGCTTACGGCTGTCGCGTGAGGGTCTAGACGCGGCTTCTTGAGGATCGACTTTGGTGGATAGCCCAAAGACACTCTCTTGGGTGCAGGTGAACGCCTTTCAAGTTCTTCATCATTGGCTGAACATTGGCGTGCCATGAACATTGGAGGAATAGGACGTCGGAAATGAGGTGGAAGAGAGGATGGGCCAACGGCACGTGGATGAGGATGATAAGGAGGACGGGGAGGAGGAGGCCCGGCCCACATTGGGAAACCGCCTCTTGGCGCCCCTCTTCGCATGAACCTGGGAGAGTGTTCAGGTGGTATCGGGCTAACGCCTGATGGAGCACCTGCCATGCCTTGTGCATAAACAGAATGGATTCCTGGTTGACGAAAGAATCCAGTGAATCTTGGAGGATGGCCACCAACCATAGCCCAGTGTGGGCTCATGCCAGGAGCTGCTGGTGGGACTTCGCGACCCTCTTCGTGTTGATGTTGGTGCATCGGTGGTACAGCTGGGGGTGATGCTGGAGCGGCATCCACTACAGTGCTGCCCTCTTTGGTTTCGTCCCTAGCAGCAGCAGGAACATCAACCACGACATTGCATTTTCCGTGCTCTTCGGCCAATGCAGCCAGAGATAGCAGCCTATTGGCGGCGCTCTCTGCCGCCTTTACTGGGCACTCAGCATCGTCTTGATCGGCATTGATGTTTTTGGAGCATGCTGAGACACTCGATACGGTGTCGCTGTCCGTCGCTTCATTTCCGTGCAGATGGGGCATCCTTGCTTTGCTATTGATTGCTGATGGCTGATCAGAGGTACGAATCCAAGAAGAAGAAGAGACAGATATGGAAGGAGAGGAACTTTATCAATGGAGTGTCATTCGTCCAATGTGTGGATGGGACTCTTGCAGTAGGCAAAAGCTATCGCTGGTCTGCTCATCGGCCCTTACTTAGGCCAGAGGAGAGTCTAATAAAACAAAATTTCGGCCAAAACAGAATATCTCATTTCCTTGGCGGCAGCACGACCCAGGATGGTATTTAGGATTCACTGCGCTCCTCTCTGCATGGTTACTTAGCCATCACTTTCATCACTTAGATCTAAATACCGTAGATACTTAGACGACCGATGCGGGCTCTAAATTTGGCGTAGCCAACGTGCAAAACGATGAAAATTGTGCTTGCTCTCAAAATATTTGTGGGCTCAACTGAAACAGGGCGCAAGTGTCACAGGGCGAAGCTGCACTACAGTATGGTTCCTTCGAGAGTTTTCCAGAATGTTCTTGTTGTCCTTGGATTTTTGGCCTTCTCTGAGTTAGCCTCAAAATTCGGAGGACAAGTCTTGTGGGTTAGCGAGCAGCACAACTGGAGACGTCTCTCGTCACAAGAGCTGTCTCTCCGGGTCTGTTGGGTTGGAAACTTTTTGATGGAGAGCTTCAGTTGCGGTACTGTACGGTATGAGTCCATATAGATGCTCGATCGACGCACTTCTGTTTTCGTCTGTGTACGTCTGTGTACGAGGGGGTTGCCAACTCTGACTACCACCAATGACAGCGACGAGGCATGCTTCATCATGTGAAGGTCGGATCCTGACCCAATTTCGGTGTTCGTGTACAGAGTGAATATTTCGATGATGCCGACCGAGAAGGGGGCCTGTACCGTACGGTACAGTACCTCTTGGCTGGGGATCGCAGGAAGCGAGGTGCAATCTTTATCGGTACCGGTAGTAGTGGCACCGGTACGAGTATTAATTAACAGAAGGCATGGAGCATTCTTGATCTTCAAGCACTTTATCACCTGAACGATCCAATCACCGCCTACGGTACCGCAACTGAAGCGCACCATCAAAAAAATTTCAATCCAACAGACCGTTTTGGTTACGACGTGTTTTGGTAACTTTGATCTCGCCAGATGATAGGCTCACAGGGGAGCTACCGTACCGGTATGGGAGGACAGTGATTGAATTACAAACAGGTACCTGGTACTGAAACTCAACTTGCGAGCAACCCGCTGATGGTTCCGCGCTCTGGCGTACAGTACTCTACTCTAATTTTTCTTAAAATAGCTTACGGTGTGCAACTTGCGTAGGAACAGGGTACCAGGAGTCCCTTCATACCCACATCCATGCCGACTGATGTAAAATACTCTCGCATGTACAATACTCTCCCGTTACCATCCGGGTCCACGAGTCTTGCCATCGTCGAAAGTTGCTTAAATTTGACCTGCCTTGCGTTTCTTGCCAGTGGTCGCTTGCTTCTGCAAATCGGCCAGAGTGGACTCGAAACGATGTTCCAAGGTCATGTGGTTGTCGGGTCCGAGTCCAAGACAGGCACGCATAACATTGATGATTGCCTGGCGTTGCGTGAAAAGAGCATTGACGACAGGTGCACCGTTTGGGACAAGCGGGGCTTTCAGCATGTATGAAAGAAGAGAAAGGACTGGGTGGAATGTTTCCCAGTTTTTGCTACCCTCTTTCTTCATGGTGATACGTTCACACAGCTCACCCAGGATCACCAAATCATAGATCAAGGGAGTGGCCAACAACGAGTCCTCACAAGTGTTGTGCATGACAATCGTGTTCTTTCCACCCATGAAAATCTCGGACGTGTATTCATCCATGGCGCGTTTGGAGTCAGCCACAGTGGGCACGTACTTGATGACAACAACATGATCAGGGTGCTCGTCCTCTTCAAAAGCAGACGGTTGTCACGCTCCACCATGTCATCCATCCACAATTGGACTTGGCAATCTTTCCTCTGTTCGCCGAGCGCTACATGTCGCTCCACCGTGCCGTCCGCTCCTCTCCGCTCTCTCTCTCTGTGGAACACAAGATAGATATATAGAGACACACGAAATGACGGCTTGAATACCAGCTGAGCGCGGCGGCGAGACGCGACTACTAACACACAACACTACACTCAGCAAAATCATGTCATCTCTCTCGCGCTATGTCTACAGACGGTGTTATAATCTGCGCGCATACACTCGCGCGAGCGTCCGCCGAAAACACAACACACTCTCTTCTCGAGTGCGAACGCAGACTCCCATCAGGAGAGCGTAGCATCGATTGTGACCCATTGATGAAGTACATCGCCCTCCGCTGACGACGTGCGCGTGCGCGTACTCGTGTGT